CGCCATGTTCGTCTCGCGTTCTGGGGAATGAGGTCTCGCCCAAACAGCTCGAGTGGGCCGCTGCGCATGCTCTTCTCTGGCACAGGCAGCTGAAGGCTTGCAGGGTGACGAGTGGCATCAGAGGCATGTCCATAGATCACCCGATGGAGTCGGGCTTTGTCTGGGTCGTTGGCATGATGCACGGCCACTCGTGCTTCCTTGTGAAATGCAAAGCGCTTGAGAATGGTCGATACGAAGCTCCCCCCACAGTCCAAGATACAGACTGCGCTTCATCTTTAGACATGTTCAAACGCTATGTACACATGTGTCAAGACGGCCACGCTGAGATTAAAGTTGCCTGTTGTCGCTACCACCCGCAATCACTGGAGCTTTGCGACAGATGTAACATTTTTACAATGACAGCGAGATGCCCCATTGAGAGGAAGCCTCCAAAAAAGAAACCAGCATCCCCTCCTGCTACACTGGACTTGGAGCCAGCAGGAGATGGAGAAGAATTGCAGGCTTCCTTTCTCCTCCTCCTCCGTCGCCCCCCCTTCCTTCGCCTCTTGGCTTTGGGCTTTCCACCCAGCTCGCAGGCTATAATTGATGAGGCGGCGGCTGGGGGTCGTCTTCCAGATATTGGCGCGCTGGACCCATTAGTTGATCCCGATGTCTTAGCAGTCCACGAAGATGACGAGTCGAAGGGATCGGCCACCCTAGCAGAGACAGCCGCTGCCAGTGGGAGCGGGGTTGGGGAAGCGGGCGGAGGTGGAGGCGGTGGAGGAGACGGAGGGGGCGAAGACGTCAAACTTGAAGATGCACACATTGCGGATGCCATCGCCGTTGCAGTTGATCCAGAGTTCGACCATGCGTTCATTGAGCAGTGCAAGTCTGCGTATAAATCGTGGGCGTATGCGTTCAATGACTCGTGTGATTTGCTGGCAGAGAGCTCCGAGCTGCTTGCGGGCGGAGTGCACCCAGCGTTGGCAGCTGCACGTGGGAGCCTCGCTATTGTTGCATATGTGAACCGTGATACTGGTTGGCGAGAAGTGTCGCTAGTGCACTGGGAGTTTAACCCGCCTGACGAGGCACTGTCTGGCATTGCATTGCGAGTGGATGCTTTCAGTACTGCTGTATATCAGGTTGGAGTGCACTACGCCCCCAAGGATGGGGGCGCTCTCCGACAGCAGTGGAAACGTTTTTTTCGGAGTGCGAGTGCACCGTGGTTTACCCGAACGCGGGCATTGAGAGAGTGAAGGAGCGGCAGCGGGTTGGGGCAGAGTCAGGGCAGGCGTGCAATCACGTTGGGCATAGCAAGCACCCCGCTCCAGTTCTCAGTGCTTCTGATAGGTAGACTCGCGTGTGCTTAATGCGCTGCTGGGAAGGGGTGGGGTGGGGGGGGGGGGGGGGGGGGGGGCAGGGGGGGCACGACAGCAAGATCCACCCTCGCCCGAGAATTGGGGAAGGTATCTTGAGGCTCCTTGCTATGTGGCGGACTGCTTTGTTGAATGCCTTTGGAGGTGATCGATTTGTCCTTGGGGAGTGCCTGTGCTGCAGGAAGGGGTCTGACGAGGGCGGGGATATGACTAGGTGCTGCGCATGTTTGCATTTCTTCCACGCTCGCTGCCACGCAGATCTGTTGCGCGCGTGCTCGGGCCCCGCAACTGGCGTTGCAAGTAAGCGGGCCAACGCATTTACAATGCCCGATGAGTTCATTCGGGCCAGTCGAAATCGAGGCGTTTCCTCGCTATGCAAGGCGATCGTACCTGAGAATTAAATTTGCTGCTGATGCGACATCCAGCAAACACTACTGAGATTGCCCAACTCCTCCCTCATCAACTCTCGAGGCCGAACACCTCTCTCGTCTCTTTCCTCGGCTGTCCTGCCCAGGTCCAAACGTGTCGGAGCCGTCATGGAGCCATCCTGGAGCCATCATGCAAGGGGTCCCCCACGCGCGCATAACCTAGAATACATACGTGCATAGGCATATATATATATATGTATGTATATATATAAAAACAACGTATATAGGCGGGTTATTGCGCACAGGGCGCGCGACAGGACACACGAGACTTCCGACGGCAACATGGCCTGCAACAAACGGGACACAAGGGTGCATGTACCTTGCACTGGATGGGTCCTCGCGGAGGTCGAAGAGCTCGCGGCGCGGCGACACGTGCATAGTTCGAACTGTTGGTTGGGGTCCCTGGCAAACGACATGACAAATCACAACTGAAACGGCGCGTGTTCCGATAGGCATTTTGGCTCGAGCGACATCTGAGGCACCAGAGGCCAACAGTAGTCAATCAACGCTGGAATTCACTCGACGCCGAACCCCACGCGTTTCAGTGATGCGTGTGCCCGCACAGGCAGCATTGGACATGAGGTTCTATATGGAAGACGCTACGGCCGAGTCTCTTTTTCCAGATCTTAGTGGTGCCAGGCTCTGGAGAAGGCTGGTGCAAATCTAGTGCGTCGAGCCCCACGAGACTCTGATGGTGATCGAACGCGGAGATGGGGGACACATAACTCGCAACTTGCAGCGTTCTCCGGACAACTCTCGGAGGCAGGACCACACCGTGAGGGCGTATGCGAAGAAGATCATCGAGCGGTGGGCATTTGCTCAGATGAGGGGGCAGCCTATCGCGATTGAGACGCAGCCTCGAGATGGGAACGGTCTTCAGACCGCAAAGCTGTACCAGATGATCGCGGGGGCGACTCTATGCGAAGCCATCGGGGCTGCGATGCGCTCTCTCTTGTTGTTGCTTCTGGGATGAGTAGGGGTGCAGGAGTTGATTGATGATGTTGGCTTGACTTCTGGGCAGAGTCTTGGGGCGACATAGATTGGGCCAAACTTGCTACGGCATCCGCCTCCTGTTCCTGCTCCTCCTTGCTCCTGCTCCTCCTCCTACTCCCCCTCCTCCTCCTCGTCCTCCTCCACCTCCTCGTGCTCCTCACTTTTTTCCTATTGCCGCTCCTGCTCCTAACGCCACACGGGGGGGAGGGGGCCACCAGAGGGCGCCAAGAGGACCCAGAAGCGACCTAGAAGTTACATAAAAACACCTGGCTCCTGATCATGCTCCGTCAACCGCTTTCGGGCGTACGAGCCGAAAGGGATGTGGAGGATGAGCCCAGGGGATGCGGGGACACATGGGGGGAGCAGGATGATGAGGGATGTTAGGGATGCTGATGGTGATGATGTTGATAATGATGATGACGATGATGGTGGTGATGATACTGAGGATGGTGGTGCTGTTGATGGTGGTGATGGTGATGATGATGATGATGATGATGCTGAGTAAAGCACGTTATGCTAACTCCAGTGCGCTCACTCCTGAGCGCACAGTTGAGATCATGATCAGCTCCTGAACGCAAGGTAGTGCTCAGGATCCACTCCTGAGTGCACGATGGAGCTCAGGACCAGCTCCTGAGCACACAGCGAAGCTCAGGAGCAGCTCCTGAGCACACTGTATAGCTCAGGATCAGCTCCTGAGCGCACTGGTAGCTCAGGAGCCACTCCTGAGCATGCGGTGGAGCTCCGGATCCACGCGTGAGCGCAGCGTGCAGCTCAGGATCCACTCCTGGGCGCAGGGTACAGCTCAGGAGCCACTCCTGAGCTCAACGTGCGCTCAGGAGCTACTCCTGAGTACACTGAGTAGCTCAGGAGCAACTCCTGAGCGCAAGTTGAGCTCTGGAGCCACTCCTGAGCGCAATGTGAGCTCAGGAGCCACTCCTGAGTGCACGGTGAGCTCAGGGGCCACTCCTGAGCGCAATGTGAGCTCAGGAGCTACCCCTGAACGCATAGGGTAACTCAGGAGCCACTCCCGAGCACGAGATGTAGCTCAGGAGCCACTCCTGAGCACGAGGCGATCTCTGGAGCCACTCCTGAGCACAAGGTGAGCTCAGGAGCACGCGCATGGTAGCTCAGGATCAGCTCCTGAGCAGCAGGTGAAGCTCATGGGTAACTCCTGAGTGTATGGGCGAGCTCAGGAGTCCAACTCCTGAGCGCACTGTGGATATCGACACCATCTCATAATCATATATTACACTTCAGACTTAGTTTCGGAGTGCCTGAAGAAGTCCTGGTTGCCGGTGGGTGTCTGACCTGATATCCGATTGATCAGGTATGTGTGCGTGTGAAAGTTTGTGCAGATCGCAAACAATACCATGGACATTTGAACTTTTACGTAGCAGTATTTGCTCAATCGCACATGGCTCGCAAACCGAACCATGCATGCGATGTGCGATCACCACTTGATGCCAAACACTTTGCAGAACATTATTTGGCAGTGTCGTTAGACATACTTGGCGATGAGTTCTCGGTTGGCCACTTATGTAATGCAGCGAAGCACATTACGTTGAGTTCTTTCTTCTCGGGTATTGGTTGTGCTGAGCAGGCTCACTACACAGACTGCGTTACCTTATCTGCGTTGCTAGCTACAGAATGCCGATGGACACATTTGTGGTCGCTTGATTATAACGAGGACAATAATTTAGAACACAACCTTGCTCCTGGAAAATCGGAATGCTGGTTTGGAGATATCAGATGCTGTATCAACCAGTTCTTGGGACGCCGTATCATATCAGCGTCTAAGACTATGAGCTACAATGATATGTGTAATGTTTCAAACGAACAACTGCAATGGAGCGGTGCGCATACTGCGCCGAGCACAAGAAAGAGTGTCAGCTTTAGAAATTATTTCTGCATGTAGCATTACACTTCCCCAACCATTCCCACGCAAGTGGTAGTCGCCCAGATGGGGCTCTGAATAGCTTTGCGTGGGCAGGGCAACGCAGGCTGTTACAGGAAGACGTCGTGCTCCATCACAGCCGCGACAGTAGCGGGATATATTCCTTAGACGTGTTGCACAACATGTTGAACGACTTATACATCGTAGCAGGGGCGGCGACGCTTTCGGCAGATGATTTTGGCAATGCGTGTCCAAGGAAATCAAGATGGACGTGGTTGATACACAAGAGAGCATGTATCTTACATCCAGTGAGCAGTTTTCCCCCGTGGGATGAGTGAGTTCCACGCCAAGTACCGCAGGTTCTGCAAATGCGATTGGCGCAGCTATTTCAATGACCAATGTAGCGATGCTGTCGAGGAGCTGGACTGGGCCAGGTCGAGGCATGACAGGCGCGAGCGTGGAGCGCCTTTGGCTCTTTCGCAGCGCCACTGCAGCATTCGCCCAGACGGCTCTCTGTTCTATGATGCGCTCACAGCTGCTGAGAAGGATGCGTTTGCAAAGTATTGGGTGATGTCCAACGTTGGCGTTTGTTGTGTAGGGCAGAGCCCCGATGACAAGCCGTTGCGCACGTGCGATAAGAACGCTTTGTTTTCCTTGCGCAAAGGCAAAACAATACTGTGGAGTTTTGAACATCCAGATGGCTTTCATGGGCAGAGTTGCTGACAGTCAACAATGTCCCTGCCGAAGGAGATGCTATGCAATTTGGCGTGCAATCGTCGTTCTGTCGATCTCGCGACAGCCTGGGCTTGCAAAACCGACGACGGCAAGTTGCCGCCTCGCAAGCAGTCAACTCCGCGTGCTTATCTGTTGTTGGCGTGTGCTTCCAGTACTTGTACTGCTTGCTCGCCAAACTAGATTTGCGCGCGGGCAGTATCCCTCGCCAATTGCCAGATCCGTCCAGCCCCGAGACCCGAACGCACAGCGAAAATGACACGACCCCGCATAAGCCTATCAAGCAGCGGAAATTAGGGATTGCATTTAGTAGCCATTGATGCATGGCACTGTTTGCGCTGCACTTGCAAATAGAAAATCCCAAACAATTAAATCCACATCCCTTGGTGCTGGGCCCCCCTTCCAATCCCGGCCCCGGGCGGCCCCGGGGAAGAGGGGGGGGACTTTGCTTGGTTCCGTTCATACGCTCTGGACGAGGGGGGGGGGGGGGGGAGGAGGAGGGGGGGAGGGAGGAGGGGGAGGAGGGGGGGGAGGGGGGGGGGGGGGGGGGAGGAGGAACAGGGGGAGGCTGAGGAGGAGAGTACAGAGGGCCCCGCGAGGGCTCCAAGAGGGCCTTTCAGGGTCTCATCAAGCGAGCCCGTTTGATGAGAGCCTCTGGGGCCCTTTGGGGCCATCCCAAACGTTGCCGCCACTATGGGCCCCTCGAACCAGCACGTCCAAGACATCACCAGTAACGGCCTCGAGAACGTGATGTGCTTCAGGCACGACGCGCCCAGGGCCATCCAGAAATTGATCAAGACTGCGCACGATGATTTTCATGATGGAAGCGCTTCAACATTCATTGAGCTATTGGACACCACTGAGGACGCGGTCGTAGCATGGAGGCAGCACACGAAGGATAACGAGATGACCAAGGAGGGGTGCCCCAAGACGGGCAAATACAGATATGAAAATCTGTATGCTGATTTTTGTGGCGAAGCATTTTACCATGTTCAAACCATGGGACCACTATGACAAGTGCTGCGCTTTCAAGGGGAAGATGGAAAAGGCTGGCCCATGGCCAGCTTTCAAATCCAGGATGGAATCCCACTGTGAGTTCCTGAGGCGCGGAATCACCAACGAGGTTGTCGCGAAGGCGTGCAACCAGCTCTTCATTCAGATCATCATCCACTTCAGCGACGCAATCGAGATCGACACGCTCCACATGATCCTCGTTGAAGCGCTGGACTTCGCGGCGCCCATGGAGAACGATGACGATAAGGGGCCGTGCTGGATCTTCAAGACGAACCAGGATATCCAGAAGATTAAGAACATCAAGGCGCCGATGATCTCCAGCAAGGTCTACCTGAAAGCATCGGGCTCCAAGAGGTCTGGCGCTGTGGCGAAGGTGCAGCCCATGAAGAAGGCGAAGGCGAAAGGGAAGGCGAAGGCTTCGCCAACGCTGAACGTCGCCGACGAGGTGCTCCACGGCTCCACTGCGACTACAGGACCGACCGAAGGTGAGCCAGACGCGGCGGAGGACGCGACGGGCTCCAGGCAGACGCTATTCCTCGACGACCTCGCGCGCTGCATCGCGCAGCCGTTGACGGCCTTGCAGGAGCGCAGCAGCGGGAACGGGAACGTGATCCAGAAAGCGTGCTTGGCGCTTTGCTTCAGGACTGGCCTGGCGTTTGCCTGGGACGGGCAAGTGAACTTCAACGGGCAGGTCTTCCGTGAGTGGAGCCCTCTTCGCAAAGAGCTTCGGGGTGAGATCTTTCGCGCGCACAGGGCTTTCTTGATGACGGACAGCCCCCCTGGTGGTGCGGAACAGGCTACGCTTATCTTGGAAGCCCTTGATGCCTTCGCACAACAAGATCTGCCGCATAATTACATGGCGATGGGCGATGAGAATGTGCCCGTGGCACTGCGCCCATTCGTTGACGACGAGAAGTTCATCGTGGGCATCTGCCGCATGTACCAGGGCGCATCTGCTGCCGAGCTGGAGGAGCAACCCCTCTATCTGAGCATGTGCCGGGCCGTGTGCGCCGCGGCGTCGCAGTCGAAGCGGGCAGGGCCGAGCACTGACGCGAGTGGTTTCAGCAGCACTGCCGTTTCTAAGGCTGACAATGCTACGCGCATTGTCAAGGGGGTCATCTTCGACAACTTCGACGACCAGTGGTCCCACTTCGGCCGCGCGCCGATGAGCGAGATCAAGTAGGCTGGTTCGGAGGCCGACGTGCCTGCGCTCTCTGCTGGAGCCTTCGCCGACGCGCCCTCGGCGAAGTCATTCTTCAGCCTTCGCGCCCAGTACGCTGTCAAGCTGACTCAGACCGCGGGCGGGTTGGACTCGCGCGACGTGGTTCAGCACGAGGCCAACGCCGCCCGCATCGCTGCACATGATATTGCATTGGACGACGACCAGTGGGTTTCGTCCTGGAACAGCTTGCTGACGGCAGCTGCGTCGGACAATGGCTTGAAGGAGTTCAATTTTATGGGGGGCGTCGAGACCATCGGGCCCGCGCAGACTGTCGCCGAGGCCGCCGCGCAGCCGGTTGCGCAGCCCGACCAGAATCAGCCCAAGCAAGACGATGCCGACAAGAAGACCGATGTCCAAGTGGGACGCGCCGTGATGGCGCTGTCCAAGGTACGTGCGAAGTGGGCTGTCGGTGAGTTTGAGGCTCCGCACATCGCTTCGTTCATGAAGCACTTGGAGTGCTTCATCTTCGACGCTGGCATGCTCGGCAGGACTGCGCCGCTGAACAAGGCCACTGCGAAGAAGGATGACACCGACGACTCCGAGGAGAAGGCCCTGACGGTGGACGTCGGGCTCGACATCATCACCGCGGACGTCAACGAGAGGGCCCCCGAGCTGAAGGTCAAGGCGGCTGCGTGCCAGTACAGACGCCACAGGAGGAGGAGGAGGGGGAGCAGGAGGAGGAGGGGGAGGGGGAGGGGGAGGGCGAGGAGAAGGGGGATGAGGGGGAGGAGGACGAGGAGGACAACCAATAGTTGGAACAGGAGGGGCAGGAGGAGGAGGAGGAGTGAGAGGGGGGGGAGGAGGAGTCCAGAGGAGAGGGAGGAACGTGGAGGAGGCAAGGTGGTCTGGGAGTCTGGGAGATTCCAGTTGCCCCTCAAGCTCCAGTTTAGGCCAAACCATGAAAGTCCAAGGCGGGACTGTTCCGAAAGACATATTCTGTTTCTACAATGAAGCGCGCTTGGTTCTACGTGTGATTACCTAGAGGAGTTGAGATCTGGTATGGTGCTGATCTTCTTCGGTTGCGTCAGCAGGGTCCCTTCAGATGGATCTGCCCCGATGTGCCATTCGTTTGGACAGACGTTCTACGTATCATCCAAAGGCTATGATTATGTCAAGTATTCCTTTGGTTTCTGCCCTGCGTGGATGGTTACGTTACTACGCGCTTCGGCTGACGGCAAGGCGAAGAAGAATATTCCGTCCATGAAGTGCGTGACGAGCAAACTCATGATGCCATATACGCACGGTCTCAATGGCAAGCCGATCGCGATCAAAGTGCCCGTCACTATGTGCAAGCTCGCCCCCAATCCCGACTTCAGTGTCAAGGAGGCCGACGATGGCAAAGACATCATCCTGACGCGAGGCGCAGCTTTCGGGCAGATAGAGGTCGACCCCGTCAAAGCCTAGGGCACTTCTGAGGCGAAGCCCAGGAAGGCCCCCCCTCACGACTGGGCGCACGTGCCGTGGCTGCATCGCTGAGGGAAGGCTCAGCTGTGCTCAGCAGAACGATTTCGGCTGCTTGGAGTTTTTTCCATGTACCTCATGACGCCAGTCCGGGATGCCAAGACGGCCCAAGACTCCCAAGACCACCCAGCACAGACAATCAATTCGAATGGCGAATCCAGAACTGGTGTCCAGAGCGAGCCTGCCTGCCCAGCGTCGCTTTTCAAAACGAAGATGGATTGATTCCTGCGCCTGGTAATTTTAGGGAGGATTGGCATAGCTCGCGCTTCTAGTGGCCGCCCCTTTTCATGTGGGTTTGGAGGGCGCAGAGGTCTGCTCTGAGTCTCAGGAGTCAGTGCGCGCGAGCTGTGCATGCGTGGATAACCTAGCGCTGCCGCCCACCAGCCATCATTCGAGGCTCGGCTGGGTGGATTTACTTCAACTCAAATATTGTAAAACAGCCACGGGGCACCGAACCAATATTGCCACGGAACGGGATGGGAGGGAGAGGGGGGATGAGCAAGATGAGGAGTGGAGGAGGGGGGGGCGGAGGAGGAGGAGGAGGAAGAGGAGGGGGGGAGGCGGAGGGGGAGGGGCAAGCACTTGATGCCAGGATACCCCAGCGGACTGAAGGCCTCGCGAGAAATGATGCGATGATCCGAATGAATCGAATATGAACGAGAGTGAATGGAAGACGAGGGTGTTGTTTTGGAGCTCGTTTGGGCCCCTCGTGGGCCCAAGGTTGTCATCTTGAGCCCGCCTTGGGGCCTTCTTGGGGGGCGACGGGGGCGGCGGGCTCGCCGGGCCGAGAAGCCGCGTCTGCTGCGCCTCGCAGAGGGCGTGGATCGCACCGCCCTTATCTCACCCCCCCCACTAAGTGGAGCAACTACCCGCTACCCGTGGCCCCCGTCTGCCGTTCCATCCTCCCCGACATCCCTCGACTCCTCCTCCTACTCCTTCTCCTCTTCCCACTCCCCATCCAACACCTGTCAAAACCTTACAATTCCAGCTGCTGTCCGCAGTCATTTTGACCCTAGCAGTCGCTATTCGTTGTGAGGCCAGGACTGTGTTTCTCTGCTCACTCTCGCGGCAATGGCTTCGGATGGCAACTGCGACAACCGCAGCCGCTCTCCTCAACCATGCCGCATCATGTTTCGTGGAGTCCGAGAGCGGGCAGGGCCTTGCGCAGCTCTCCTCCATCGCGCTGGTCGCCCGTGGCTTCCTGCTGGTGCTGACGCTCCGCGTCATGAGGACGGCGCTCCTGCCCCTGCTGCTCAGCCTGACCAGCCTGACGATGGCCACAGCGATGAAGAGTATTCGTTCGTGGACGTCGGGGGTGACTCTGATGGTGACACTGATGGTGGTGCGCCAGGTCCTGCCGCAGGGCCTGCCGGGCTGCCTGCCGCGCTGCCCCCAGCCCCAGCCCAAGCCAACGCAGATGGCTGGCCTGCGAATGCGCCGTGGGACCACCATGCGTTCATCGATGGTCCGCCACCTGAGGGGCACTGGCAGCATATCTACCACGCCGTGAACCCTACTCACACGATGAGGTCTTGCAAGTCGGTCACCATTTGCATCGTGTGCGGCTGCTATTTACAGAGCCAGATGACTCCCGCTTTGTTGAATAATTGCCAGGGTGGTAGGGCGAAGCAAGGCCGCTCAAATCTAATTAAACTTCGACTGGGACTTTACCCCAGGAACGGCTTCGATTTCCACAGGTAAGCCTGGCGACGTGGTGTTGCCAATCGCGCCACCATGCATTGCTGCAATGCTCTTGATGGCTGTGGGTTGCCCCCTGTTCTAGAACGTCCAGGTAGATAGAGTTGCGCGAAGGTTGCGTTAGTTTGTGCCTCGTTTACAGAGACCAGGTAAGTAGTCCCCGCGGCACACAGTGGGGATGACGTTTTAGGCGGCCTCAGGGCCGCACTCATTCGACTGACCTTCGTTCGAAGCTACAGGAGCAGCGACGGCTGCGAGACAGAGATAACGAACTCTCAAATGTTTGTTGCTTGCTTCCCATCAGCCGGGTATTCTTGCACTTGTTCATATCCAGGACGCTTCGCGTACCCACACATATGTACCAATACTCAGACACAATATCATACGCTTTGCGTTCGCGCCCCCAGTTTTCGGGCCTCTTTGAGCACATTGGGAGCCATCCTCAGGCATGTTGGGCTGTTTTGAATCAGCGTGGAGGCCATCTTGGGGGCGATCTTGGATCGTGGAGGCCATCTTGGGAGCGATCCTGGAGCCATGTTGGGCCATCTTGGGGATAACAACTCCTCTGCTCCTCTCCTATAGTTATCTCTTCCTCCGCTCTCCCTCCTCCTCGTTGCCCTCCTCCTCCACTCCTTACTCCTCTCTTCCTCCTCTCTCCCATCCCCCTCCTCTCCTCCTCCTCCTCCTCCACTCCTCCTCCTTCTCCTCCTCCTCCTCCCCCTCCTCCTCCTCTTCCTCCTCCTCCTCCTCTTTCTTTTGCGTGGCTTCGAAATGCTAGGAAACGCTGTTCAGGAGCTCTCGGGGAGAGACCGCTCAGTCAACACTTTTCTTTTGGCGCTCCACTCCCCTAGCTAGGGGGGGATATCATGGCGGGGCCATGATATTTCCCCAGATCTCATGGCGCCTCCTCTTATTTCATTACGTCCCTGGCCCCCCCGCTGGGTCGCGCACGTGCCGCCGGTCATGATTTGCACCCCCCCCCTCTTGGACACCCCCCTCTTGGCCGCTCCCGAGAAGCGTATGCCCCCTGGACTTGCGTGCCCTGAGCTGCAGCTGCGCCGCTCGTGCGTGCCGCGGCGGTGCTTTGGATGAGCGCGCCCGCGGAGCGCCCCCTTACCAACACGGGGGGGTGCCAGTTTCGAGCTACCCCCCCCTTTCTCGTGGAAAGGGGGGGGGCTTCCGAGGGCACCCCCTCCTCCCCCCTTCTTGTGGGCATGTTCTAGCTGGGGGGGGGCAGTTTCGAGCTCCCCCCCCTCTCTCGTGGAAAGGGGGTGGGCTTCCGAAGGTACCCCCTCCTCCCCCCTTCTTGTGGGCATGTTCTAGCTGGGGGGGGGGGGCCTGGCTGAAGGGGAGGGGGGGGGGGCTTGGAAGCTGCCCCCCCCCCCCCGTTCGGGGCCCGGGGGGTCAGCACGCTTTCCAAGGGGGGGGGGGCTTCTGAAGCCTGCCCCGAGTGCCCGCCACCTCCTCCCGCCTGCTGAGGCCCCCGAGGGGGCGGCCCGAGAGGGGCCCGAGAGAAGGCGGGATACTCCGCGCCATCGGCGTGCCTCCTGCGGGGCACGTCGCGCGCGTGGCGTCTCCAGGCGGCGTTGCGTGAAGAGGGAAGTGAGGGGAGAAGAGGGGGGAAGAGGGTGGGAGGGGGAGGAGGGGGAGGAGCGAGGGAAGAGAGGGGGAGGAGGGAGTGGTCCCTCCCACGTGGGGTCGGAGGAGACGGGGTCGTGGGGTCGCGCCGCATCGGCGAGGCATCGGCGATGCGGCTCGATGAGGGCCCGACTGTCTCCACGCCGACGTCGCGGATGCGTCGCCGATGTCGCTCCTCCTCCTCCTCCTCCTCCTCCTCCTCCTCCTCCTCGGAGAGCCTCGATTCTCGATTCCCGATTCTCGAACCCTGGTCTTCGACCGTCGACCCTCGATCCCCGATCCTCGATTCACCGATTCACCGATCCTCGATTCCCGATCCTCGGTGCTTGTTCTTCGAGGGAGCGTCGAGGAATAGGAGGAGGAAGGGGGGAGGGAGGGAGGGAGGAAGGGAGGGTTGGTACAGGAGGGTCGCATCGGAGCTTGCAGCAGAGGGGGCAGCGAGAGACTTGGACTGCCCCCCCCCCCCCCCCCTGCAGGCGCCCCCTCGGTCCTCGATCCTTGTGTGCATCGGTCCTCGATCCTCCTCCTCGATCCATCTCCTCGATCCTTCTGCTCGGTCCTTCTCATCCTCGATGCTCCTCCTCGATGCTCCTCCTCGATGCTCCTCCTCGATGCTCCTCCTCGATGCTCCTCCTCCTCCTCCTCCTCCTCCTCCTCCTCCTCCTCCTCCTCCTCCTCCTCGTCGATGCTCCTCCTCGATGCTCCTCGATGCTCCTCCTCGATGCTCCTTCTCGATGATCCTCGATCCTCCTCCTCCTCCTCCTCCTCCTCCTCCTCCTCCTCCTCCTCCTCCTCCTCCTCCTCCCCCTCCTCCTTATCCTCCTCGATCCTCGATCCTCCCCCCCCTCGGTGACACTCCTCGATGCTCCTCCTCGAGGCTCCTCCTCGATCCTCCTCGCTGATGCCCCCGATCGGGGACCACCCGACCCCCCCCCCCGCGAGAGGCCCCCTCGCCCCGCGGCGCGGGCGGCGGCGGCCGCCCCGCCGGGGCGGCGGGCCCCCGTGAGCCCCCCGCGCTGAGCCGCCTCACCGAGGCGGAGGCCGAGGAGGCGCCCCTGCGCCGAGCTCCGCGCCCGCCCGCTCCGACCTCCTCCGGGAGGCCTCTGTCCCGTGGAGCTCCTGAGGAGGAGGAGGAGGAGGAGGAGGAGGAGGAGGAGGAGGGGGGAGGAGGGGGAGGAGGAGGGGAGAGGAGGAGGGAGGAGGAGGAGGAGGAGGAGGAGGAGGAGGAGGAGGATGAGGAGGGGGGAGGAGGGGAGGGAAGGGGGGGAGGAGGAGGAGGAGAAGGAGGAGAGGGAGGAGGAGAGGGAAGGGGGGAGGCTTCTCAGGAGGCGGCTTCTCGGAAGGCGCGGTCCTTGTCTGCAGATGTGGGGCCGGCGCCCTCGAAGGAGCAGCCTCCTCGGGGGCCCCCAAACGGTGTGGTGACCACACCGCGCGTTGAGTCGGTGGGATTCGGGGCCCCCGCAAGGTTTTTTGGGGCTCGGGGTCGTTCTCCGAAGACGTCTCGGGCGATTGGGGCCTCCGGGGTCCCAAGACCGTGCGGTGACGGACCGTGTGGTGAGGTCTTGCGGGATTTCGAGATCGGCGCAGGGTCTGTCACCGCACTGTTTCGGGACTCCAAATTGACTGTGAGACCCGACTCCTCTGTCGCTATGTCTTACCGCGTCCAGCCAAAAACCGCAGCAAGGCTGGAGTACGTTGCAGGGCTACCCGTGCATCCTTGCCTGTTGGACCTTCTCTGAGCCATTCTAGACGTCCAGAAACACGCAGATTGGAGGTCCAAGGGCCTCGCATCCTGATCTGGCACCCCTACTATCTAGGCCATTCATGTGCGATCCGAGTCGATGGGGTCGGAGGATCCGGCCGCATCGCCGATGCATCGGCCATGCGGCTCGATGTGGAGCCCCACTTTCTCCACGCCGACGTCGCCGATACATCAGTGATGCACCGACATAGCGGCGCCATCCTCACGAATCGTGTCGACCAGAACCAAGACATCGCATTGTCAGGGGACAGAGACGGAGGTGGAGGTAGAGGACGGACGAAGGACGCGGGATGCGGGAGGCGGAGGTGGAGGTGGAGGTGGAGGTCGAAAACGAGCGATGCGCTCCATCGGCGCGGAGGCCGGCCCGAGACGGGTGGCGCGGTGGCGCCTCCCCCCCCCCCAGTCTTGGTATCAAATGGTGCTCTCCAGCCCACGCTTGTGCTGCCCCCCCCTTGTCGCCGGAGGTGAATCTCTGGCTGCAAGCTGAAAGCAAACTATGTTCAGGAGGGGAAGAAGCAATCAGACACAATGAATCGTCGACTCCAAGGAAAATTTGGGAAGTGAGGGGGAGGACGAACACCCAGAACATATAGGAAACTATGGGGAATCCTGGGATTTGTGGCTATTCATTTGTGTGTTGTGGGCCCCTTCAACCTGGGCGCCCGATTCGCTGTCAGCACGCATGCGACCAAGCCGACCTTGCCGAGGGAGAGAAAGCCACACGAGGCTTCGCGAGGGAGGCTGGAGGAAGAGGGTTTGGGGAGGACCTCTGGGCCGTGCCAGGGGTTTCTGGTGGGCTCTGTAGTGGGCTCTAGGCTGGGGGTGGTGGAGGAGGAGGAGGAGGAGGAGGAGGCGGAGGAGGGGGAATAGCAGGAGGGTGGGAGGAGGCAGAGAGAGGAGGGATCGGAGGGAGGAGGAGGGCGTCATGAGAGTCCAGGCGCGCCCCCAACCCACCCCTGGCGAGGACGACGAGGACGAGGATGCCGACAGCTGCGGGAAGGCCAGGCGGCCTTCGCTGCCTACCTGCCTCTGCCGTTCTCTCTATATCGTTCCTCTTTCTCTCCCCATTTCTCTCTCCTCTCTCTCTCTCGTCTCGCTCTCGCTCTATCTCTCTCTTTCTTTTTTTACCTCTCTCTCTGTCCTCTCTCTCTCTCTCTTTCTCACTTTTCTCTCGCTCTATCTCTGTCTCATTCTCTGTTTGTCTATTTCTCTTTATTTTCCTCTCTCTCTCTTGTCTCTCTCTCTCTCTCTCTCTTTCTCTCTCTCTCTCTCGCTTTCTCTTTCTCTCTCTCTCTCTGTGTCATGTTAATTCCTCCTGCGTTCTCTTCTGTTTTTCCCTCCGTACTCCTGTCTTCATCTCGTCCTTTCCTGTATCGTGCCCTCATGTCCTGTCCAGGCAGGCTTGGGATGAGGGTAAGTCGCTCCAGAGCGTTCTGGAACGCCCTCAGAGCGTTCCTGCGCGCTCTGGAACGGCCGTGGTTCCGATACATCCATCCTCCAGCCTTGCCAGCTTTGCGAGATCCCCGATTTGTTCTCCTCCGGATCGATTCTCGTTCTGGTATGGTCTATCCTGTCCTGCCCGTCGTGTCGCGTCCGTTCTCGTCCCGCCGCCTGTTCCAGCCACCTGTCCTGCAGAGGGAATGTCAGTGTTAAGTCGGGCGTGCCCCTCTACAGGAGGGATGTTCAAAAATAGTCAAGACATTGCTCGGGGACGAGTTTTTGACAAGGTCGTTTTTTCCCTCAACAAAAAGTTTTTGGGTGGGGCATGTTTGTAATGTTTTTTATGTTTCGCCTAAGCTCCGCCCGTGGGGGGACATGCCCGACCTGCCTACTGCCAGGGCCCTTCCACTCCACTGTGCACGCCTCCGGGCCACCGCGCCCCCTCGCGCGCCTCCCGCGGCGCCTGCTCTTGCGCACCAAAGTCCGCCTCGGAAAAGCGCCCCCCCTGGCGTTCAAGGAGGAGGAGGAGGAGGAGGAGGAGGAGGAGGAGGAGGAGGAGGAGGAGGAGGAGACGCTGCTTGCGCCCAGCGGGTGCAGACCAGCATGTCCGCGCGGAGGCCTCGTGCAGAGTGGGTGCTCGAGGGACGGGGGCCGCCCCGGGCTGCGCGGGGCTGCGCCTGGCGCGCGCGCGCCCCCCTCGCGCCCTCCACCCCTCCTCCCTCGCGCCCCCCTCGCGCGCGCGCGCCCCCCTCGCGCCCCCCTCGCGCCCTCCCCCCTCGCGCCCTCCCCCCTCGCACGCCCCCCTCGCGCCCTCCCCCCTCCTCCCTCCCCCTCCCCCCCTCCCTCCGCCTCCGTCGTCTCGTCTTGTCGTCCGTCGTTCGTCGTCCAACGCTGGGCCCCGTCACCGCCGGTAAAAGAGCGGCATCGGCGGGGGCCCGGCGCTCTGACGCCGCCCGTCGGCCGCCGCTGCTCTGGTGCTCGTCGACGCTCTGACCATTCGATGCTCGCCTCCTCCTCCTCCTCCTCCTCCTCCTCCTCCTCCTCCTCCTCCTCCTCCTCCGCGTGCGGACTGGTCCCGCCCGCCACCGCGCCGCCCCCCGCCCCTGGCCTGTCCACCCCAGCTGAGCGAGGCCAAAAAAAGCTGGCGTCGCTTGTGCAGACATGCGCGCGCAAGTTGCCCGCGCAGGGTCGCGCGCAAGCTGCCCGCGCAGGGTTGCGCGCGCGCGCCCTCGTTTCCGAGGTAGCGTACCACGCTGGCGGCCTGCGTGAGCCACAGCGCAAGGTCTCTGCGCACGCCATCTTGCGTAAGGCCCGCTCACCTGGTCGGTGGATTTGTTTTCCTCATCCTCCTCCTCCTCCTCCCTCTCCTCTTCGTCCTCCTCATCCTCCACCTCCTTGCCCCCCTCCAACTTATGGGGGTGGTGGTGGAAAACAGGCCCATCACTGGTCGTCAGCGTGCTTGTTGTCTTGATACATTGCCGCCCGCCCAAGCGACCGACCAGTTGCCCGCGTACAGGCCTACCCTTCCCATGTCGGCGTGCCCGCCGTCCTCCGGCCGACCCCTGCCCGTCCGACCGGCCGCCGTCCTGCTGCATATGCCGTCGAGTCTGCTTAGGGAGACTTCGCTTCCAGTTCCAGGGCCCCCGGGTGTCCAGCGTTTTCGCACCCTGTGTCCCCTGCAGCCCTGGGGCAAACTGCGGCCCACGGAAACGGATTCTATTCTCTCTCGCGTGCCATGTCCAATCGAATTCGGTTGTACATGTCTCTATGTTTGTTTCTTTCTCTGTCTCTCTCTCTGTCGCGTGCCATGTCCGATTGAATTCGGCTGTACATGGTTTTTGTTGTTTCTCTCTATCTCTCTCTCTCTCTCTCGCTCTCCCTTGATGTGTATACATATCTGTATTTCACACGCCCTCTGATCAGTGTCATGGTCTGCCTGCATCTGCCGCGTGCGATTCGCTGTCTCGGGCCTGGCCTCACTGGGCACCGCGTGGCGGCTGCACACTTGGGGCACAGCTCTGCGCGCGCGCCACGCAGGACGAGGAGGAGCGGAGTGCACTTGGCTGTACCACTCAAGGGGGGAAAACACACAGACACAATTCATCGTCTATTTCCAGGAAAGTCTGGGAACATAGCGAAGGCGCGGGGCATGACGACAATTATTGGAACATTTTAGGGATCCTGGGATATCTGGGTGTATTTATTTGTGTGTCCTTGGACCCCGGCCCAAGCTTCCCGAGCCGCCACTGAGATCTGACGTCGCGAAACAGGCAGCATCGCGACTGGAGCCCCAGACCCCATCTCTCTGCGGCATTGTTCGATCGTCGTGGAGCCCGACGCCAGGCGACAACGCCCAGCGCGGAACAGAGGTGACGCCCGGATCTGGGGGTTCCCCGCACGCTGTGCCGCGTCGGTCTCGGCAGACGCCTCGCTCCCAGCGGGGCGCTCCTGCGTGCACGGCACCCGTCGTGCTCTCTTTGATGGGCCTGTTTTCCACCACCACCACCACCAGAAGTTGGAGGCGGGAAGGAGGTGGAGGATGAGTAGGAGGAAAAAGAGAAGCAGGAGGACCCCCTCGCCCTCCTACTTATGGTGGTGGCGGTGGAAGACAAGCCCACTAGTCCACGGCCCTGTGCGTCGGCTGGGCCGCGGGTTGTTCATGACCCAGAGGAGGGCTGCGCTTGCGATAGGGTAGGCGAGGTCTCCGGGGCAACGTCAGTAGGGGGCACAGGCTGAGTTGTTCTCAGAGAATTTCGACGGTTTCGATGTTTTTGTTTGTGTCTGACGGTTTTTGTTCTTACGTGTTTTTTTATTTAATCGCTTCGCTCATTCCGCCGGCCCATATTGTCGCACCGTTGCGGGCTAGCCGAGTTTTGCGGCCTCTTGGGGGCCTTCTTGGGGCCTCTTGGGGCCTCTTTTGGGCCTCTTGGGCGCCTCTTGGGGCGTCTTGGGGGCCTCTTGGGGGCCTCTTGGGGCCTTTTTGGGGCCTCCTGGGCGCCTTCTGGGGCGGAGGGCTCGATTTTTCAGTTCTCTGTATCCCTCTTGAGCCCCTCTTGGGCCCGTCTTGGGGCCTCTTGGTCCGTCTTGGGCGGCACTTGGGCCGTCTTGGGGGCCCTCTTGGGCCGTTTCGGGGCCGTCTTGGGAGCTTCGTGGGCCGTCTTGGAGCGATCTTGGGCGCCTCTTGGGTCGTCTTGGAGCGTCCGGAAGCCGAAAAAGCCAGAACGCCAAAAACATCGGAAAAACCAATGAAAATCAACGATTTTGGCCTCTTGGGGCTCTCTTCGGAGGCCTCTTGGAAGGCTCTTGGGGCGTCTTGAAGGCCTCTTCGGCTGTCTTGGGGGTCTCTTGGGCCGTCTTGGGGTCATCTTCGGCGCCTTGGAGCGCTCTTTGAACGTCTCGGGGGCCTCTTGAGCAATCTTGGGGGCCTCTTGGGGCACTCTTGGCGCGCTCAGGGCGGCCTGAGAGGCCGCACCCAGAAGGAAAACCATCTCTGAGTTGAACCGGGCGGGACCTGGTCAGGCGGCGGGCGGGGTACTTTTCGCCGGGGGACCCCCAGGGGCCGCCCCGCGCGCGCGAACTAGTACAATACAATTGTTAACCAGTTACCGGAGATCTTAGCACGCCTCTGGCCCGTTGGGCCGGCGAATTTGTTCTCTTGTTTCCCTGACGGTTTCGACGCCCGGGGTGTTTTCCATCAGCTGCGCCTGGTCGAGGGCGCTCGGGGGTGCCGGTACCGTCCCCGAGCCGTTGCCTCACGACCGAGTTATGCCCGGAAAGCCAGGCGATCCAGGGACAATTGGGGGCGGAAAAGAGGGGGGTGGTGACTCGGGGGGGGGTGGATCTCATGGCGTGGGCCATGATATTTCCCCAGATTTCATGGCGCCTCTTCTTATTTCATTACGTCCCTGGCCCCCCCGCTGGGCCGCGCACATGCCGCCGGTCATGATTTGCACCCCCCCCTCTTGGACACCCCCTTCTTGGCCGCTCCCGAGGCAGCGCAGCGACCTCCCATCGCCGGTTCATGCGGCACCGGTCAAGCATATTCGTGCACTGTGTGCCTCGGCCCCGCGGGGTCGACGCGTGCGCTCAGGAGCCTCGTAGCACGTGCTCGGTGGCGGGCGCGTTCTTCGGAGGTTGATGCAAGGGCTCCCTCGAGGGCGCGAAGTTATTCGCGCTTCGCGCTTCGCGGTCCTCGTTCCTTCTCCCCCTCCTCCTCGTCCTCCTATTCTCCCTTTGGGAGGGCGGCGCGAGAGCGCGAAGTTATTCGCGCTTCGCGCAGCGCGAAGCGCGAATTTGGGAGCCCTAGTTGATGGGCCTCTCCTGCCCTGGCACGCCGATGGGTGAGTTGGCCATTTTCGGTTCGCGAGGGGGCGTCGCAGCAGCGATCTCTGCGGGTCCAGGTGCGTCGGTTTCGGTCCCGGGCCGTTTTCACGAGAGGCTGGTTTGCTTTTAAGGGGGAGGCTTGCCCACCGCCGAGAGTTCTGGCAATGCCATCTCGTCGAGGGGCACGCTGCACACTTCTGTGTGGTAGCTGTTCGGTGCGGACGTGCGCCTCCAGGGGGTGCGGCGCATAGTACCCGTGTGTCCTCCTGCGTCCCAGTCGATGGCCGATAGGGGCCCCACGGCCCTCCCCGCCCGAGAGCGTGTCGGCGATGTGTCGCCGATTCAAGCTCGATGTTTCGCCTCATTCGGGCACGTGGGAGAGTGTTGTTTTCGAGGGGGGAGGAGGTGGAGGGGGAGGAGGAGGGAGGAGGAGGAGCAGGAGGAGGGAGGAGGAAGCTCGACGTCTCCCCCCGCCTTGAGCTCGTCCCTCCGTATAATTGCCTCTCCCCAAGTCCCCCCCCCTCGGGGGCGCGATGGTAACATCACGCGGCACGCGGCGCGGCTGGGGCCGTCGAGCTGGCCCTCGCCAGTTGGGTTGCGCGAGGGCTCGGTCGGAAGATACGCAACACCCCACAGTTGCAGACAATCAGTATCGTTGAAACGATACCCATCCCCATCCCCATCCTCTTCGAGACCCCCACCAAATTACCACCCCAGTTGAGGATAATACACCCCTCGAAACCCGAAGGGAACGATCTATTTCCCCATCTAGGGGGGTAAATCGGCCAGTGGGGCCCAGGCCACGCCGCTGGGGATGGGGATCGGTTAAACGATACTCAGACATGAGTGCGGAGGCGGCTGCGAGAGCAAGAGTGTTGCCCCCGATGCATTGCCCCCAGTTGTTGCTCCCATGGATTGCCCCCCTGTGCTACCCCCATGTGTTGCCCCCAACTATCGTTCCCATGCGCTGCCCCCAAGGGTCGCCCCCCATCGTCCCTGAGCATCCCCCGCCCCCCTCCTGCATTGCCCCCATGTATCGCCCCCACAGACTGAGCCTCCCATCCAGCCCCGCGCGCGCTGGGAAGAAGTGGGACCGTCCGGACCCCCTCACTCTGCTACCTGAGCGTCTCGCGAGGCGCGGCGCACGAATTCTCGGGCGGCCTGGATGATCCCGATGGCCCTGCCACGGGTTCGGGGCCTGGCTTGGCTAGGAGGGCCACGGCCGTGTTCGGAGGAGGCGAAGCTTACTAGACCATGTATTTTCGGAGGTCCTCGCGGATTTCTTGGATCGGCGTTGAGCCCCCCTGGCGGCGCCTCCAGAGCCGCGCCTGGCGCGCTGCGCACGCCAGGCAGGGCTTTGTTCTTCAAGAGTTCGGAACTTTCACGAATAACTATTGACGCTGCAATTGCCATCGGAAATGGCCATGGTAGTACTAGTTGCCATGTTCTCTACCAGTCCCACGACATACCAGAACCATTTTGATTTTGAGGCAGAGCAGTACCCCATTCTTGCATGAACTTGAGAAGCTTCCTACGGGAATGTCCGCGGGGGGGGGGGTACTGACGAGTGAGGGATGCAGAACATGGGGCCCATACTCCATACGTCCATATGCGTAGTTTCGTGTAGTTTCGTGGCATCTTCATGCCTCACAGTTTCCACGATGTGTAGCTTTGGAACGTCTGGGCGAGGGCTCAGCACTGGGAAGCGTTCGCCCCCCATGCGTCGAGTTTGCAGGAGGCTTCTAGCCTCTCCCGAGCGAGCGCATGGACGGATCCTTCAGAGGTAACGTTGCTCCTCCTCCTTTTCTCTCCACTCCAGCCCCTCCTCCCTCTTGCCCCCCCTCGCTCCCCGCGCACCCTTGCCTTGGTTCATTCCCTCCTACTTGGCGAACCAACAGCACACACCCATACCCATAGGGGGGTCGGAGCGGGCTATGGGTACGTGTTGTCGGATGGGGGTCCCCGCTCGAACGGGAGCGTTCCCCAGGGTCTGACAACCCGCACCCATACCCATAGCGAGTCCTCCTCCCAACGACCGCCCCTATGGGTATGGGTGTGTGTGTGTGTGTTGTTCGTTCGTCACTACTGGGCTCCTCCCGTGGGGTGGGACTTCTGGAAGCCTACACAGCGGCTTCCAAATAGTCCAAACACGTACCATAGTCATCGCTTCGTAAATTTCGAAGTCTCGATTCTCGCCCCAGTCTCCCCGCCCATTCAGAACCCAAACTGTTCCCGAAAACAATCATGTCTCGATCCTCTATCCTCGATGCTCGAATCTCGATTCCCGATATTGGCCGCAAGGAGGAGGAGGAGGAAAAGCAGGAGGAGCAGGAGGAGAAGGGGGGACGAGGAGGAAGGCGATGAGGGGTGGAAGGGGACGAGGAGGGAGGGGAGGGGGAGGCATGGAGAGAGGCAGGGAGAGAGCAGGGAGGGCCCGAGCGCGGCCCGGCGCCCCCCCCCCCTCGGCGCCGGAGGCCGACGTCGTGTACAGGCTGTGAGCCCGCGGCCCCCCCCCCCCTGGCGCGGGTCCCCCGCGGAGGGCGCCCGTTGGACCGCGCGTTCCCCCCGGCAGCTGCTCTCCCCGGAGGGCGCCGCCCGCGCGCACGGCGGCCCTGCCCTCCCGACGCCGACACCAGGGACGTCCTCTCATTCCTCCTCCTCCCCCTCCTCCTCCCCCTCCTCCTCCCCCTCCTCCTCCTCCTCCTCCTCCTAGATTTTGGCCGCTTCGTCTGCCAGGCGTGTGTGCGGGTTGCGGGTCCCCTTTGGGAGGATCTGAGCGCCCAAGGTGGCGTTCAGCGCCGCACGCTGGGTCAGCGTCGAGGGCGGGAGCGCTGCGGCAGCCAAACATCCCAGACGTTCTGTGCGCCCCGCTCTGCACGTGTCCGGAGTGGCCAGATTCTCGAGGCCGCGGCCCTCACCCACCTGGTCTAATCGGGGATGGACAGAACCCCCAACAGTGACACGTCGTTTCGTGAATTGTCCGTTTTCGGCTCTCGAGAGGGCGCCGAGGCCGCTATTCGCCAGGTTTGGGCCTCAGGTCGTTTTCACTAAGCCACGTTTTACTAAAGGGGGGTCTGTCCATGCCCGATCTAAGCTAGGCCCGGACATTGTCCGCATCGGTGGTCGCATCGCCTCCTTTCGGCTGCACGCAAGAGTGACCTGTCGCGGGAGCGGCCTTTGGTGCGGGCACGCCGGGCCCCCCCAGATGGCGAGTGCGATGCTGCAGCAGCGGCCTCAGCGCTGGGGTTTGTAACCCCCGCGCCGCCCAAAACCTCGGTCACCTGAGCATCTGAAGCATTTTGCCTCCCCCACCTCCTCCCCCCTAGAAGCGCCCGCTGCGGCCGCGGCAACTTTGTAGTTGCTATTTCTGCCCACGCGTCCTTCATGGATGCACGGCTTCTTGCCTTGCCTTGCGCCCCCCAGAAGCCGCGCAGCAAAGGTCACTTTTGCCAGGGGCCACTCCTGCGCGTCGCCGACCCCTCCCTGCCAGCATCCGGGAATTCCGCCCTGGCCCTCGGGAGGGGTGTCCCGAAACGGGCACGACTGGAGTGGGTGCGGAACGTCACGGACGTGGCGCATTGGGGGCAGGATGTCTCGGACGGGGCTAGGACGAGGATGAACCCGTATCGAAGCGTTCTGGAACGCTCTCAAAGCGCTCGGAACGTTGTCGGAAGGCCGCGGCGCCCGAGAGGCCATCCTGAGCTGCCGGATCTCAAAGGTTCTCGATTTGTCTGTGCCCGCTCTCGCTCCGTCTTGCAAGACGTGGCAGGACGAGCGGGTGCGAAGGCCGGCAGCAGTTCGACCACCACGGCGGCCCTCCCCTTTCATTCTTGCCCGCCAGCATCGGGGAATCCCGCCCGGAGCTTCGGGAGGGTTTTGCCCTCGAACTGGTACGACCGACGTGGGCGTGGGAATTCGCGGACGTGGGCGCGCCGCCAACACGTGGTCCACGTATGGCAAGATTCGTGGGAGCAGTGGGCATACGAATTCCGACGGCAGTTCGGCCGCACACGGCGGCCCTCCTCCCTGCCTGCCTGCCTGCCTCTGGGGGTCCCGCCTTGCGCCACGTGAGGGGTGCTATGAACCCAGACCTGTCACTACGACCGACATGGGTACGGAAGGAATGGCTATACACGAAGGGTACGTAACCGCATTTCCTGTTCATTGTGGACAGGACTCGGTGTCCGCGCCGCCGCGGACGTTGTCCATTTGAGACAGAAGGGCGCCTGCCCAACAGCCGCTGCTGTCGCTTTGGACAACATCTGTTGTTGGGCATCGTCTTTGTTTCTCCCATACCTGTTTCGGGCGTCCGAGCTTCGGGCGTCTCGAATATGTCGAGACGGAGGTTTGGCATAGCTTTCGGCCTCTCGGGGCCCTTTGCCGTGCCGTTGTGCCGTCAAGAATCGGTTCGGGATGAAAGCGTGGTCCCCGAGAACCGGGCGTTCAAAGCTGAACGCTTCCGGTGGCCCGACATTGGCCGACATCGAACGATCGGGGCTACCGGGAAACCGTTATCGTTCTGGCATCGTTCGGACGTGTTCATTTAGCACGGCGAGGCCAGAGCCAGAAACTTTGGAACATGCAGGAGCATCCTGGATCGTCTTGCAAAACAAAAACAAAAAAAAACACGAGACCGATACATTCACGGGGAAAGGACGTCGCAGGGATGGCAAGTCGTTCAAAGCTGAACGTTATCACAAGTTCGAGGGGGCGGGCCTTTGGGAACGGAGTTCTACGGAGTTCGGGTGGTGGTGGCTCTCACTGCTCTCCTCCTCCTCCTCCTCGTCCTCCTCGTCCTCCTCCTCCTCCTCCTCCTCCTCCTCCTCCTCCTCCTCCTCCTCCTCCTCCTCCTCCCTCTCCTCCTCCAGGCACCTGTGCCATTGGGATCCTTCCCAAGGAAAACAGGCGGGTAGCCTCCCGTTCGTCACCCCAGGTGCTCCTTCGGGACCCTGGGGGAGAGAAAACAGGTAGTCGTAGGCCGTCCCAGCCTGCGTCGCGGGGGAAGGGGGTCGCCTCGGGTCTCGGGGCTGCGCCTGTCTCGCTGTGGCGGGCGGGTGCAGTCCAGGGCTACAGGTGCGCGGCTTTGCCTTCCGTGTTCCGTGCCTGGGCTGTGGGTCTGCCACGTTTTGCTGCGACACCCTTGCTTGGCCCTCCCAGTACTCCGCTGGGGCATGGGTGGTGTCGCGGGTCCCTTTTGCGGGGGGGGGGGGTCAACAGAGGATCCCCGTCCATGCTTCCCACAGTCACGGTCCCCCGCCGTGGCGTGCGTGGGGGCGGGCTGTCACCGAGGGAGTGGTGCCCCCCTGGTGGCTGAGCGGGGCGGCGCGCGCGGCGTGTCGTTACCCGATGCCTCGAAATGTTAGAGCGGGGCTGTAGAGCGGCTTGCCAGCTTACAAGCTGCTGGTTCCTGGCGCCGTGGCGCGCGCGGCTCGTTTCTCGCCTCCGGGCGTGTAGAGCGGTTTTCCGTCGTTGTTTGCTCCCCTTGCGCGCGTGTCGGGTACATCTCTCTCCTTTTTCATCGCTGCGGTAAGACTCCACAGGGGAGCCCGCGCCGAATCCGTCCCTGTCTGTTGGCGCCCACCAACAGCCGACACGGCGGCCTTGGACTCGAGGAGACTCGTTCGCTTTCGGGGTGCTTCACTTGACTTCACTCCTCCTCCTCCTCCTCCTCCTTTTCCTCCTCCTCCTCCTCCTTTTCCTCCTCCTCCTCCTCCTCCTCCTCCACCTCCTCCTCCTCTTCAGAAACCGACGAGGTCGTGACGACGCGCACCTGCCGTGCGCGCGCCGATCCTGGGCCTCCACGGCGGGACCAGCCCCCCGGGCTCGGCGGGGGCGGGTCGCGCGCGCGGTCGGCGTCCTCCTGGCCCCAGTGCCGCTCTGCATCGGTGGATCCGGGGGCGGCCAAGAGGGGGGTGATGACCAGGGGGGGGGGGATCGTGGGGTGGGCTATTTTATTTTCTTAGATTTCGTGGCGCCTTTGCTCATCCGCTGCGTCCCTGGTCCCCCTGGGCCGCGCGCGTGCTGCCACATGATTTGCGCCCCCCCCTTTTGGAGGCCCGCTCGTGGTCGCCCCCGATGGACGCGCGCCGAACGCCGCGCGGTCCTTGCAGCAATTTGCGCCCCCGCGCCCTCCTCGACCCCACCCCCCCTTTGTGGGAGGAGGAAGAGGTACCGATACCGGTGCCCTTGGCTCGCGTTCCTTTTTGTGTAGACTTCCTGGGAGGCGGTCGCCGCCACGGCTGGATTCGCCTCGACACTTTCGTCAGAATGCAGCCCGGGAGAGGTCCAGGGAGTAGCCGTGTCGGTACCTTTTGGTTATCCCACCTCCTGGAGGAGGGATGGGAGGGGAGGGATGGGGGGGGAGGGATGGGGGAGAGGTGAGGTCAAGTTAGCCCTGTCCAGCGAGTCAGCGGGCCCCGCCCGTTCACCTCCATCCCTCCCGCAGCATGAGCTTCAATGGTGGTGAGGTGCGGCGAGAACGAGCGCGAAGCGATGTGGCAGTGACGCCTCGCCGCTCGCCGCCATGCCGACCGCACGAGCACAGCGACGAGCACCGCGAGCGCATACCATGACACGGAGACAAGATTCTGGTGAGGACGCACAGCAGGCGAGTGAGGTGAGAGGGAGGAGGAAAGGGCGGGAAGGAGAGCAGGAGCAGGAGCAGAAACACAGCAACATGAGAAGCAGGGGGAGGAGGAAGAGGAGGAGGAGGAGGCGGACGAAGACGACGAGGGGGGTGCCGGCGGTCCATGTACACGCATCGTGGCCAGGCCAACGTTGGATTCCGGGTCGGTGTTCGTTTTTTCTCCTTGTCCTCGTTACCATTTTTGTCTTAATTCTCGTATCATCCGCCTCCGTTCTCGCTCGTCTGTTGTTCCTCTGACTGTTGAAAGTGTGATAGGTATTTCTCTTCCCCCACCTTCCCTCCCACATCTCTCATCCACCCCCCGCTTGCACTCACTGCTTCCGAATCAGGAGAAATGGAGAGCGATGGCGTGCAGGCATTAGGGTTGTAGGGGCCGGTGGAGTGAGGTGGGAGGCGACGCGGAGAGAAGGGAGGGGAAGCGGGCAGCTAAGAGGGGAGTTGGAGGGGTAGAGGAATGAGGTGGAGGAGGAGGGGACGGGGAGGGAAGGGTGCTCGAGAAAGGAGGATGGTGGAAGCGTGGTATAGAGGGACGGGAGGGGAGGGATGGAGGAGAGGCCGGACGGGGGCGAGAGGAATAAGCATGAGCCGCGGCGGGGCCCTCACTCGCCCCCGTTTCTTTGTGCTGCTCCTCCCGTCAGTCCCCATCTCTGCTTTCCGTTGTTGCATGTCCCTCCGCAGTTGTGTGCTCCCGCCATTTCCCCCCCCCCTCCCATACTTGCTACCCGTATTGTGTGCATCTAATGCCCATCCCATCGGGTGATCTATATGATCTTCTCTCCTTGCCCCCCCCTTCCCTTCGGCGTCGTTCCCTTTCTGTTGCTGGGTGTGCGGTGTTCTCGCCAAGCACGCCTAAGAACATGCACGGATGGGGCCGCTTGTGTTTGTTGGCATAAGTCCACGCGGTGAGCGGGCTTCAGCCACTCGTCTGAGTTTTCGGCGTTGGCTTTTGATCGTTTGCGACGATGCTTCGGCACTTGGATGCAGAACTGGGTAACGCGCGGTCGCGAGACGTTGAGTATATATCGCCTATGTGCGTCAAACTCGGCACATTCGCTCAGTGGTTTGAGGCAGGTGACAATGATTGGGGCCAATTGCTCACCACTCCCAGTTAGTGGGGACGGCACACGCAAAGGGACGATTGTTCGCGCACTTCCTGTCCCCCATGCGTGTCAGAAGGGATGGCACAATCACATGTCAAGTACTACCAGCCTGTTTGGAGCATGAGTGTGGCAACCTTTCCTAGCAACACCATGCTTAGATGCACACGTTAAAGATCTGTATCAATGCCGTCGGCCTGCGCACTCACGTGCTAAATGCATATACGCGGCGCATTGACCGCGACGCTTGTAAAACAACATCCATGCTAAGGCCAACTCCTCAGACGTGAACCTCATCTAAATCACTGCGAGCTCTGTGTTGCATGTTCTTTAAATACAAAAGGTTTCTCCCACGAGTCTATGAGAATCACCAGGGCCCCGAGCCTAATTAACAGGTCTTGCTCCCACGGGTCAAAGCTGACAGTTGGCTACGAGTCATCATGCTGTGATTTTGTGGTTGTGGGACGCCAGGGTGCCGAAGACCGGACAGTCTTTCGATGTTTGTCAAATGTTTCACGTGCAGGCAGGTTGTAATTTCGGCCAGTTAGGTTCACACCAGAGTCGACCCCCAAAGTGATCACACTCAACCCATGTTGGTGTGGAGGCTAATTCTTCAGTCTTCTTCGTCTGACACTGTTTGAGCAATTGATGCACCTAGCTGATGTGCTTTTCTCATCGCAACTGGCATGGGGTAGGACCTTCGTTGACGCACATGCAGGCTGTCAGGCAGACGTGGCTCGGGATATATGATACATGTACTAGCCGGCCGCTCTGCGGTTGATCGGGAGTTTCTGTATATAGAAGAAGGTGCGTGCGCTTGTTGGCGAGGGTGAGGATGAGGTTCCTCCTCCTCCTCCTCCTCCTCCTCCTCCTCCTCCTCCTCCCACCATCCTTCTCTTGCCTCCGTCTGTCCTCCTCCACCCCGCAGCTCCATCATCTTCTCCTCCTCCCTCCTCCTCCTCCTCCTCCTCTCCTCCTCCTCCTCCTCCTCCCGGGGCACCTCCTCCACCGGATCTGTCCGGATCCGGAAACGGTGCCGGAGGCCGCTCTGGGCTCCTGGGCATCTGTCTCAAGCGAGGGCGCCGGTTTGGGATTCGTCTCCAGCGGATCGGATCCCGGAAACGGTGCCGGAGGCCGCTCTGGGCTCCTCTGGGCACCTCCCCCGGGGCCGGTTTTGTGAGGATGTCTCAAGCGAGGGCGCCGGTTTGGGATTCGTCATCCAGCGGATCCACCGGATCTGTCCGGAAACGGTGCCGGAGGCCGCTCTGGGCTCCTCTGGGCACCTCCCCCGGGGCCGGTTTTGTGAGGATGTCTCAAGCGAGGGCGCCGGTTTGGGATTCGTCACCGGATCCACCGGATCTGTCCGGAAACGGTGCCGGAGGCCGCTCTGGGCTCCTCTGGGCACCTCCCCCGGGGCCGGTTTTGTGAGGATGTCTCAAGCGAGGGCGCCGGTTTGGGATTCGTCCCCGGATCCAGCGGATCCGTCCGGATCCGTCCGGAAACGGTGCCGGAGGCCGCTCTGGGCTCCTCTGGGCACCTCCCCCGGGGCCGGTTTTGCGGGGATGTCTCAGGCGAGGGCGCCGGTTTGGGATTCGTCCCCGGATCCAGCGGATCCGTCCGGATCCGTCCGGAAACGGTGCCGGAGGCCGCTCTGGGCTCCTCTGGGCACCTCCCCCGGGGCCGGTTTTGCGGGGATGTCTCAGGCGAGGGCGCCGGTTTGGGATTCGTCCCGGATCCAGCGGATCCGTCCGGATCCGTCCGGAAACGGTGCCGAGGCCGCTCTGGGCTCCTCTGGGCACCTCCGGGGCCGGTTTGCGGGGATGTCTCAGGCGAGGGCGCCGGTTTGGGATTCGTCCCCGGATCCAGCGGATCCGTCCGGATCCGTCCGGAAACGGTGCCGGAGGCCGCTCTGGACTCGTGCTCTTCGCGCCGGGGGTGAGGATGACGTGAGTTCCACAGAAACTCCCTCAAATTATTGGTTTCAGTTGTGCTAGACTTTCTGAGCTTGGACACCACGTGCAAGCAATGATGTAATTGCTGACGTCATGGTAGCACGCCATGCTTCTCAGACGTACAACGGACAGTGATCTCTTCTGCGGGTTGCAGGAGCTGCGATCGGACCAACATCAAGTCTACTTACCATGAGAGACGCTGGCACAAACGGTCAGCGATTACGCGCCTGTTACATTTGTGTGGCGAGCGAACAGGTCCGGGCATTTGTTGGAACAGTCGCCCGATGACCCCAACGACACGACAATATAAAATTGGTGTAGTTGTTGTCCGCATCCTCGCGCTCGCATCCGTTCATAGTTCGGCATGGCAGACATGCATGAAATTATGAATTGCGCGCTTTCACACCCGCTTCCCTTTCCCAATATGGCTTCCCTCCCTTGCCTCCCATTTGGGTGCGCTGACCGCCCACTTGGGGGAAGCTGGAAACGCGCCCAGCCATGAAAAGCTTCTGGAACTCCGCCGAGGCGGCCGCCTCCTCGCCAACAGAATTTGCGAGGAGCCCGGGGGCTCAGAAAGCGCAGCGCTGCGGGAGTGACCGCTTTTAGAGGAAACGCGCTTGTCCAGGGCGAGTTGGTGTTGGTGAGGCGTGTGTTTTTCTGGTCTCGCGCTAGGGCCAGCGGCGCGGGGAACACGCAGGGCATACCACCACGTGGGTACTGTGAACCCCGACCAGCTGCGTCGCATCCGCCTGCGAAAGTTTCTACCGAAAGCCGACACCTACTTGATTCTAGACGCGTCGCGTAACCCCACCAGGGGCGGGCCGCGCCGCCGCCTGGTGTTGCTCTGACAACTCGGGCCCCTGCCTGCCCCGGCACCACCAGGGGCCGGACCTGGAGTGAATGCGGTACGGCAAGTGGTACACCATTTGCTCGTCTGTCGACGTTCCCCCTTCTGGTCCACCACGGCCCCCGGTTGACGCACGCCGCTTGGTCCCCCCGTCCACTGTTCGGGGTAGGCTGCCTGCGCTGGTCATCATCGTGCTCCTGGTACTGCACAAGTGGTTGATCCTTCGACTGTATTCATGCTCTCCTACGGGCTGGTCCATGGTGCTCGGCCACACCTGCTGCCGGTCCCCCGACATTCCGGGTCAGGCAGTCAAGGTTCGGACTCTGCGACTGGATCGACGCCAGTGCATTGGTCGGTGGCTCACGTCAGTTCGCGCCCTGGAGTCCAAGTGAGTGAGGCTTACCTGGCCACCCCTCCTCTGCCCGCGCTTTCCCATCTCTCTCGCCTCTTAGTGGTGAGCGGTGTGGCCTCACGTGCCGATTGTCCAGCCACTTGGCTGACATGCCCCAGCCTGTGCTTTGTGGACTGGACGGCTTGAGCTGGCGCCACTGTGCGACTCCTCTCCGTCTACTCCTGTCTGGTGCTTGCGTTCCCGTTCGCGGGATGCTCGCATCTTAATGGGGGGCATTTTGCCTCTTGCAGGTGCACCTGCTGCGTCGGCCTAGGCGCCTTCGTAACCAATTATCTCGCCCTGTGTCCCAGACGCGCCCGCCCCGCTTCTCGGACTCTTCCTTGGAACCGCCGATCAAAAAGTAACCCCACCAGGTTGTGGCCACCCTCCGTCGCTTTAATTCGTCGCTGCGTGCCCCTCTTTGACTGGACTCGCCGCCGGCGCGCTCGCCCGCGGCCGCTGACTAAAAGTAACCCCACCAGCCCATCCAGAAACGATGTCCAGGCGATTTTCCCTGATCAGGGATGTGGATGAGCATGCAGCGGAATGGATCAGGCGGAGGAGGGGGAAGGAGGAGGAGGAGGAGTGGTCACAGGCCTCTTGGATGCCTTTCGGAGTCTCTTCGGATGACTTTTGTAAGTTTTCTGGAGTCCTCTGAGGGCGTCGTTTGGGCCTCTTGGCGGTCCTGAGGGGGTCTCTTGGAGCGTTTGGGGTGCCTGGGGATGGCGTCTTGGGGGTCTTTTGGGAGCTTCTTGGGAACCTCCTGGGGGCCCCTTGAAGCCTCCTGGGCGTCTCTTGGGGCCTTCTTGGGGCACTATTGGGAGCCTTGGGGGCAATCTTGGAAAGGGGTCGATCAAAGGGGGGTAGTACATCAGAGCCCCCCAGGAGGCCAACATTGGCCCAACAGTTGAGACAAACTCAATGAGCTATGCCGCCTTCTCGCCGCGGCCATCTTGGACGCTCCAATCGGTCCCGAAACTCCGTCCAGGTCCAGGGGGAGAAGTTTAGGGGAGGGGTCAAGCTACCCTCGCAGATAGCAGGCCGCAGGCCGCCTGGCTCACTCCCACCCGCCCTTTAGCACATCAGTAGCACCCGACTGTCAGCAGATCGCTTAGGAACGCCACACAAACCATGCGCGCCACGGGTTCAAGGTGCGCACCAGGCACCCTGGAGGCCCGAGCGTGCCAGGTGCGGCACATGCTTCACGTGCGCCAGCTGTGCCACGTGCTCCTGCCGCGCCAGGTGCGCCAGCTGCGGGGAACCAATCGGGGCCCTGAGTGGTTGGGGCACTGGCCCAAAGAGGTTCAGGATCTTGAATACCCCGGAAGCGAAGTGCCGAGCATTCTGTGAGAAAGGCGGCTGCTCCAGGGACCACAGAGAACCCTTGCCGATTGACAAGGTGTGACATCTTGGGGAGTCGTGAAACAGATGGGAACTCCGAGAAAAGAGAGCCCTTCGCATGCTCCAGATTTGGAGCCAACGTGTATTGTGCATTGGTCCTTGACGGGGATGGTTGGAGTGCGCGCAGCAAGCAGCATGCGGCATTCCCGCCGTCCGTCTCAACAACCCATGCAAAGTGGTCGTGGGGCGCCCGCGCATGCTCCACATTTGGAGGCAACGTGTATTTTTTTTTGTTGTTCAAGGGATGGTGTGGGGGGGTGTTCTCATTTGTCCAGGTTGGCTGCTGGTCGCCTGGGGGAGGGGGTGTTTATTCTTAGGGAAGGGTGATAACCCCCTCCACGACTGGGATAAAGAGGGATGCAAGAAGAAGCGCCCTAAATCACTCACGCCCAGAGGGCTGGTGGGATTAGTCTGGCAATTGTTCGCACCTTGTGACGGTGCCTGGAGGTCACGGTGCGTGTTTGCTCAGTCGTTGTCCAACCCCATTCAGCAGGGGGGCAGTGTCCGACCGAGAATATGAGGAAACAACTCAAACGGCACAATGCGCTTAATGCAGGAAGAAGCGCCCGTGTGTAATTCCGACAATGCGACAATACGATGTTCAGTCGAGCATTGTTTGTTATTTTGCGCCCAGGTGCCTGGAAGCGTAAAGGCTAATAGGGTCAATGCCGCGTCCGGTAGCGAGGTCTTTGGGAGAGCGATTTGTCAGACGGCTTGTCCAGTACGTGGATGTTCGCCCTGTCTTCTGGCGGTGTGCAATGCAATCGTCCCCCCCGTTCCTTCTCCATCCTTCTCACTGTAAACTGCCCGTCTTCGTGTCTCTCCTCCTGCCGAGGAGGAGGCGGTGAAGGAGGAGGCCCCTCCTCTCCTCCTCCCTGCCCCTCTTCCTGCCCCTCCTCCTCTTCCGTGGAGGCGGGGGGAGGAGGCTGGAGAAGGGGAGCGGAGGAGAAAGGGGGGCTGTGAGACTGCAGCGCGGTCCCTCCCCCCCCTCTCTCCTCTGCCCCCCCCTCCTGCCCCGCGGGGCGAACAGGCGCAGTGCCCAGTGTCCAGCGCCCCTCCCCGTAGGGCAGGCTCGTGCCGTGCTGACGCGGCGGTGCCCCCCCCCCCCCGCGGGGGCGTTCGAGGTGGATAGCCCGCCGAGGTCGGAAGCAGGAGGGGCGACACCACCACCAGGGGGGCCACCTCCCGCGAGGGGTTCCACGATGCCTCCCCCGGGGGTCTCGGGCGAGAGCAGGGCTCCTTCCGATTCCTCCGATTCGATTCGATTCGATTTCGATGGCTTCCGATTCCGATTCCGATTCGACTTTGGGTTCCGAGTCGGGCTCCGATTCTTCGCTGGAGGCCTACCAGCCTGCCGATTTCCGCCGATTCGATTTTTTTTCCGACTCGGCTGCCGATTTCCGCCGATCCGGTTCATGTCGATCGCCGATCCGACTCATCCATTCGATGTTGGGCTCTCCTGCCTCCAGCGAGGGGGTCAACGCTGCCTCCCCCCGGGTGTCTCGGGCGAGAGGCGGGGGGCACACCACCAGGGAGGACCCCCCCTGGCGGCTGGCGCTGGGGATGCTGGTGTCCCGATGTTTCTCATATGGGGTCCCCAGAGTCCAGCGATCGCAAACATGGATCAAGGGGGCGTGGATTAGCGACGGGCCCCGCTTCCGTAGGAAATCGCGGATTGCCGCCGCCGAGCGAGGCGCCATCAGCCGTATTCGGGGGAGCTGCCCGCGCCAAATCCATGGATCGCTGATCCATGTCTACGCGCCCCCGATAGAAGTCCTGGCCCCTTCCCCAGGGCAGGTTTCTCCTCCAGCGTAATTTTGTTGACGGCCCCGGGGCCCGGCGAGGGCCCCCAGGTGCAGAGAGTTGAGAGAAGTGCCCGCCTTGATGTCTTCAAGACGTTGGAGGTGTGGGTGGTGGTGTCGCTTTTCCCCCGCTCCCACAGCAACGTTGCGTCTTCTGGGGACCTCGCCTGCCCCCAAGATGGGTGCCTCTTCTCGTGCCCCACGCGGGCTCGATGCGGGCTCGACGCGGCTCTGGCGTGGATCCGACGCGGAGCCGACGCGGAGCCGACACGGATCCGACGAGGCTGGCATGGATTCGACACGGCCTCGACGCGGTCAGGACCGCCGCGGGACAGACGAGGCCCCCTTGAGGACCCAACACAGCCCAGTGGCCCAGAGTCCGCCGATGCCGACCGGCCGGCGCTGTGGGGGCCCCGCGACCGTCCGGGGCCGAGCGGCCCACGCGGTGCCAGAGGGAAGCCTGAGGGCGGGCCTGTCCCTCGACAGGCGGAGTGCTCCAAGATGGTCTGGTGACGGCTTTTCGTGCTCTTGTCGGTCGCCTTCTCGTCTGTTGGGCCATCTTTCACGTCTCGTTGCTCTCCCCCGTCCGCCTGTAGGAGGACACGCCCGACCCAGGAGGAGCCATCGCCGCCGCGTCGCCGCGTCGCGGGCCCGTCGCTCCTGGCCCCCGCCCGCGGCGCGAAGCGGTGCGGCGACGCGGCCGAGGTGCAGCGCCAAACCGCGCTGGGCCGCAGAGTGGAGCGGGAGAAAGGTGCCGCCCCGGGGAGCGGCCACACGCCATCGTTCGGCAGCGAGTCATGGGAGCCGGGCGTGCCTTCGTAAGACTCCGTCTGTATCGGGCAGTGGCAAAGCGTCCTGGCTCGCCCATAGCCCCATAGCCCTGCCAAGCAATGCTCTGAGAACCTGTTGTGTGGTCTCCACGGCATGTTCTCAGAACATTTCTGGTTGAGACTGTTTTGCTTTATCACATCGGGTTTATGTTTTAAGAACATTGTTTTTGCACCCTGGCATCCCCCTCCCCATCGTCCTTCTCCTCCTCCTCCTCCTCCTCCTCCTCCTCCTCCTCCTCTTCCCCCCCATGCTCTGGGCTCTGTTTCGTAGACTCGAGGAGGAGGGAGGACGACGACGGAGGAGGAGGAGGAGGAGGAGGCCGCCAGGCGTTGAGCGATGGGATTGTTGAGCACCTCTCATGACCTCTCATGTATGATGCATGAGAGGTCATGAGAAGTGCTCAAAAATCAGTCCAATCAGTCCTGGTTCATGCCACGTCGGAACACTGCAACGATATTAGTTGCGGAGCTTGGGATCTTGTCGTCGCCGACGGCGTCGCCACATCATGCCTTTCAGCTGCGTTTGAGAGTGCGGCCGTGCGTCGACCCTGGTTCGGATCACCGGGGTCCGAGCGGCATGGGTGCACATGCATTGCACCGTTGGTGGTGCCAAAACCCTTCGTGTGAAATTCCTTTGTGTGTTTTTTTCTGATTCCTTGCATCCGCCGACGAGAATAACAAATTTCCAACTATTGTCGGTGTCCCAATCCGTCAATAAGCCGGCGGAAAAATATTTATTTTCCCATTATTGCCAGGGGGGTTATTGAAGACCCTTTGGGGTTATAGAGCTCGCTTCCCTAAGGTTGCCTCGGGAGCCCGGGGCTCCCGGAAAAAAATATTGCGGTGAGGCCTTGCGTTCTTTACGAGGTCATTTTGTGGTCTGTCACCAACACGGCTGTTGTGGGACCCCTAGGCTTGTGGCCGTCAACGAAGCCGCCGTCGTCGTCGTGGCCGTCGTCGTCGTGGCCGTCGTCGTCGTGGCGGTCGTGGGCGTGATCGTTCTCGTGACCGGATTCGTGCTCGTCGCCATCGTGATGGTTCTCCTCGTGGTTGATGGTGGTCGTCGTGTTTCTCTGGTGGAGCCTCAAGTGCTTTGACCCCCCCATCCTCTTCCCTTCTCCTCCTCCTCTTCATTCTCGTCCCTCCTTGGCACATGCCGCGCATGCCTCGGATTGGCCGTCCAGTGTGAAGGGACGTGAAGGTACTCGTCCTGTTCTTGTTTGTTATTGTTTTTTTATGTTTCGCCGTGTTATTCTTCTTCGTCCTCCCCTGCCTCTTTGACGTCCCTTTCGTCTTCCTCCTCATCGCTTCTCTGGCTCTTCTCCCCCACCTCACATTGTCCTCCTATTCCTTCCACGTTTCCTCCTCCCCCACCTCTCTCTCTGCCAGGACCAGGAAGGTAGGGGATGGAACAGGGATCCAGGAGGGGGGGGGGGGGATGGGAGATTCCCGACCTTTCCATCGGCTCCTTAATCCTGTCTGTACCGGGGGTTTGGGCGCTTCCCCCAGTACCAGGGGGCTTGGGGACAGGGGGGGGGGGGATGGAAGGAGATGACGAGATGAGTGGGGGGAATCGGAGGCGGTGGGGATGGGAACGGGGACTGGTTTGGCGGTGCGGGTGTGGACCTTGATTGGCTCCGCAGCTTTCAAGCCTGGCGGTAGGGAGCCGTTTTGAATGGCATACCATCACGTGGTTCGCGGAGATCGAAGAACGTGATTGGTAGACGATGCAGGGTGGAGTTCTGAAGGGTGAGGGCTGGATAGTGGGAAGGGGAAGGTGGTGGGGAACGGGGGTGCGGAACGCGAGAAGAGAGGTCGCGACGCAGATGTGCAGAGAGGACGAGAACGGGGAGAAGTGGATAGGGGGCGGGAAGGGAGGGGGGCGGGGTCGAGGAGGGAGGAGCGCAAGAGGGTCAGCATTGAGAGCCAAGAAAGGCGAGAGGGAGGTCCTGTCCTCCGCATCCTCCTCCGCCTCCTCCTCCTCCTCCTCCTCCTCTTCCCGGGGGGGGGGGGGGGACGCAACCGCACCGGCAGCCGCGCCAGCAGCAGCAGCAGCAGCAGCAGCAGCAGGAGGAGAGGAGCACGAGAAGGGTGACCCCGGCCGCAGCTGCCGCAGCAGCAGCGGAGGAGGCGTTTCTGAGCGCGGGGAGGGCCGCGCCGCTCGCCTGCGGGCTCGAGACGGCACTCCGCCGAGTCTGCCCCCCCTCCCCCCTTCCCACCATCCTTTTTCCTCTTTCGGCGACTGCGAAGGGTGTACTTGCGCCGGGGTGTGGTTTGCGATCCGCGCCGTTGGGGCCTGGGTGGCGCGACACTGTCCTCGTCGGGCCTCCTCGGGGCGCGGCGGAGAACTCTGTCGATGTCCCCGCCCGCCCCCCAGGGTGCTCCCCAGGGTGCCCGTTGCGAACCTACACCCTTCGGAGTCGCCGGCCCATTGCGAACAAAAAGAAGCGGCATAAACATAAACTTCTTGCGCTCCGCGCGGATTCCTTGGATCCGCGCTGCCCCCCCCCCCCCCCTGCGGCGCCTCCAACGCCGCCCTTGGCGCGCTCCGCGGGCCGGGTGGGGGGTCCGGCGCAGGTCAAAGAAATCCGCGCGGAGCGCCAAATGCCGTTTGTTTTTCTTATATTTTCCTCTCTCCTAGGCCTTCCCCTTCCTCCTCCCAAGCTCTCCCTTTTGCCCCGTCCGTCCTCTGTGTCCTCCCTCCCTCTTCATCCCACGCGCGCCTCCTTCGATTCCATCCCCCATTCCTCCACTCATCCCTCCTGACCCCTCCTCCCTTCTTTCTACGTCGCCGCTCCTCGTTCTCCTTCATTCCCTTGATCCTCCCTTGCTTCTCATTCCTTACGTCCTTTCCCCCTCACCCCTCCCTTGCTCATCCCTCATTCCTTCCGCCTCCCTCACCCCCTCCCCCACTCCCGCCTTCGCTCCTCCCTCCCCCCCCAACCTGCCCCTCGTGCTTCCTCGTGTTCCCTCCCCTCCCTCCTGCCCCTCGCGCCTCGTCCTCCTGCCCTCCTGCTCCCTCGTGCTTCTCCCCTCCCCTCCCTCCTGGACTCCCCCTCCCTCCTGCCCCTCGTGCTTCCCATGCTCCTCCAGTTCCTCTGCCTCCCTCCGTTCTCCGTTTTCCGCCATCCTATTCTTCTCCCTGCCCCTACCCTCGCCTCCCAGCGACTCAGGAGAATCGATGGTTGGTGCGGGCAGGGTTTGGATGTCACCACCTCCCCTCGACCTCTCTCGCCCCCCCCCCCTCCTCCCCCCTCCGCCTCGCCCTCCCCCCCCTCCCCCCCTTCCCTCGACCTCCCCTCTCCCTCCCCCACCCCCCTCGGCCTCTGTCGACCTCCCCCCCCGCCCGGGTCACCCGACTTCCTCGACCTCCCCTCTCCTCCCTCCCCCCCCCCCCTCTCTGCCTCACCCCCCTGGGCGGCCGCGGGCGCTGCCAGCAGCGGCCCCCGGGGAAGCCCGCCGGGGGGGGGGGGAGGGGTCCATGCTGGTCTGCGCCTGCGGCTTCACCTGCGGCCCGCGGGGTGGGCGAGGAGGAGGAGGAGGAGGAGGAGGAGGAGTGTAAACGCATGAGTCATCAGCGATGTTGGAATTCACCCTCCCTCGAAGCTCCCACTTGACAGGCGCCTGCAACGGTTCATTTTCCATGGAGGGAACTGCCTCGTTGCAAGACCCTGAAGCATGCCAAAGCATTGTTCTTGGGATGTCAACGCCACGGATCAGCCTGACTGTTGTGTTTTGACGATCCTGAATCGCGCCAGAAAGCCATCCCAGGGAGTGATTCCAACACAGAGAATCAACTTAACTGTTGCACCCGCATAATCATGATTCCTTCCATAACACCGTTTCTGGTACGCTAATGATGGGTACCCGTGAAACTCTCGCAAGTTTTTCAAACGAATGTGCGCCGCGTTAATGCGAGAGCCACATTTTGAAAAGGAACCGCCCTCAATCCGTGAAGCCCCTTGCAAATTACGTAGCGCCCCGCAGATGCGGATTGAGGGTGCGGTGGGGACGTCGGCAGTGTGCGAGACTCTGGAGAAGCCCGCCGCAGGCGCCAAAGTTTCACACATTATGCTACGAGCCCGCCGCAGGCGCCGATTTTTTCGCTAAACCGATGTGGGTCGGTCGCGGGTAGACCCGGGTGGGTCGGAAATGGGTCGCAGGTGGGTCGTTGTTGTGTCGCGGGTGGGGTCACGGGTGTAGAGGGCAGACAATTCACCCCATCATAATCACCCCGACAAGCGAAGCCGGTTAGTAAACGCACACAAGGAATGAATCGAAGAGGACAGAGCTGTTTAGTAAACGCCCAGGGCCGTTTAGTAAGCGTCAATTGTCGGGTCTGGGTGGTTTTTCCTCCCTTGAGGGTGGGTCGCGGGTGGGTGGGTCGCGGGGTGGGTCGCAGGTGGGTCGCGGATGGGTCGCACATGGGTCGCGGGGTGGATCGCGGGTGGGTCGCGGGGTGGGTCACGGGTGGGTCGCGGGGTCGCTGGTGGGTCGCGGGGGGGGTCACGGGGGAAATCGCGGGGTGGGTCGCGGGGGGGTCGCGGGGGAGGTCGCGGGGGGGGTCGCGGGGGGGGTCGCGGGGTGGGTCGCGGGGTGGGTCGCGGGTGGTTCGCGGGTGGGACGACGAACAAGCAACACCAACAACAACAACAGCAACAACGATAATAACAACAACAACAATAAGTTTAAGATTGTTCGTTTTTTATCTGCTCGCGTGCCATTCAATATGCATGTCCCAAATCCTGGGTACCCGCCCTCCTCGTTTTCGATCGTACCCCCTTTTGGGGGTTATATTTATTCTGTGCCACGTGTGGTTGGCGAAGCCCTTGAAAACGAAGGGTAACAGATGACGGGGGAGAATGAGGACGAAGCGATCGGAGGAAAGGATTGGGAGGGACACAAAGAACGGAAGACTATGATTTGCGCTGCGAGTGGCGATTCAGATTGCGCCATGGCTTGCGCCAGCCACTCCAACACAGGTTAACAATGCGTTTCGCCATGGGTCGCGCCATAAACAGCGCTACGCACCACCCTTTTGAAATAACATATCGTGCATGCCCCCAAGGGGGGACGTACAGCTGCGAACTGGTGTCAGAAACAAATTTCGTGGAACTTTGAAAAGAAGCGGGATGTTTGGAGAGCGGGGGCGGAAGGATTGTGAGAATTGCAACCGTGCGAGAGGAACGCGGGGATGTGGAGTGGATTGGGGTGGAGTGGACAAGAGTAGGGTCTCAGGAGGAGGAGGAGCGGCAAGGAATGGAGAGACGAGAAACCGGGAGGAGTGCGGAGGAGCGGGGTGCGTACGGAGGAATCTGGAGGAGGGATTGGGAATAATTTTGGAGAAATGCGGAATGCGAGCGGGAAGGGGGGGGGGGATTGTTGGGGTGGGATGGGGTGGCCTGGGGAAGAGTGGGCGGAATGCGAAAAATTGCGGAATAGCACAATGGAGTACGAACGAAATCAAAATGAAGAGACAGAAAGAGAGAAAGAGAGAGAGAGAGAGAAAAAAAGAGAGAGAGAGAGAGATAGAGAGCAGAGAAGACTAGGAAAGAACGTTGAACAGCGGGGGCTGGTGGATAAGAGCGGAGACTGGTGCGGAAACAAAGGGGCCACGAAGGGCAGAGAGAGGGCCACGAAGGGCGACAGCGGGGCCACGAAGGGCATGCGTATGGGGCCACGACGGGCGTTTGCGACCGGGGGCCACGAAGGGCATATAATGCGGGGCCACTATGGGCAGCGACGGGGCCACTGAGGGCAGCAACGGGGCCACGAAAGGCAGCGAGCGAAGGCGACCGCGGAACCAGTGCGGGCAACGAGGGACATCGAAGGCGGGCGAAGGGCAGCGAGCGGCGACTGCAGTCCCTAACGGGCTGGTCGGGCGGGCAGGCCCAGACGGGCGGATCGAGCGGGCGGGTCGTTGAAGGTTAAATTATGCTTGAACCGCCAGGCAATATGTAGCGGGAGCGCGATTCCTGAGTGTCGAGGAGCGGTATTTAAATAAATTGTGAGGAGGTATCAGGCGGGAGCCGCGAGTCGGTGGGAAGTTGCGAGGAAGTCCCAAGCGAGAGCGCGATGTTTCAATACATTGTGAGGAAATATCTAGCGGGAGCCGCGATCCGGTGGTAAATTGCAAGGAAGTTCGAAGCGAGAGCGCGATTCTTCAAACAATTGTGAGGAAGTATGAGGCGGGAGCCGCTGTTGTTGTAAACCGGGGGCCAACAACGCCGTTTAACCCTCAAGAGTTTCCTTGATAAAAAGCGCGGTGCGAGCCCCAGGAAGGGCACTTCAATAGAAAAACAATGCACCGGACGGGGGAATCAACAATCGTTATTCTCAGCTCAACATCGACAACAACAACAACGACAACAACAGCAACAACGGCAACGATTACGGCAACGAGTATGCGACAAACAGAATTCCCACCACGAGTTCCCTTTTCAGCCACGCACCCAGGGGTAATGAATGACCGTTCGGCCCCCTTCATTCTGATTAGCACGAATGTGCGCCGCGCGAAAGCGAGAGCCACATTTTGAAAACGATTGACCCTCAATCCGTGAAGTTCTTGTTTTTTCAAAACGAAAGTGCGCCGGGCTCAGGCGAAAACCACATTTTGAAAACCACCCGCCTTCAATCTGCGTCGCAAGAGATCATGGCTTGGGGGACGCGCGTCGTATATGAGTTGCAATGGCTTGTGGCCTCGGGGACGCAAGCACGGTGTGATTTCGGAGGGCCCATGGCCCTGGGAACGCGAACCTTATTTAGGTTTAAGAGGTTTACGGCTTCAGGGAGGCGAGTATTCCGTAATTTACATGGGTGCGAGTTCACCCTCGCAGCTTGGTGGGCCCGCAAGGGGGGCCGGCGGATAAGGAAAACGAATGGAGGAGGAGGAGGAGGAGGAGGAGGAGGAGGAGGAGGAGGAGGAGGAGGAGGAGGAGGAAGGCGGCGGCGGCGACGAGGAACGCGCCCAGGGATCTTTCGATACCCTGGGGAAGCTGGGCATGGCCCCGGGGATCTCTTCAGTGAGCCGGAGAAGCTGGGGACGGGCCCAGAGAATTCCCAATATCCTGGAGATGCTGGGGAGGGGCCCCAGGGATTTTTTTAGTACCTTGGAGAGGCTGGGGGGGGTCGATGTCTGTTCCTGGGGGCCTCGGTCGCAAATCGTAGAAGCTTCGCATGTCCTCGAAGTTCCGTCTTTCGACTGCACTAGCGTGCGACAGCGTCTGGCAGTTGATCATCAGAGTGAGGGGGCCGAACGGTCATTCACTGTCCCTGGGTGCGTGGCTGAAGTGGGATTCCGCGGTGCGGATTCGTGTTGTTGTTGTTTGTTGTTGTTGTTGTTTGTTGTCGTCGTCCCACCCGCAACCCGCCCCGCGACCCACCCGCGACCCACCCCACGACCCACCCGCGACCCACCCGCGACCCACCCGCGACCCACCCGCGACCCACCCCGCGACCCACCCCGCGACCCACCCCGCGACCCACCCCGCGACTCACCCGCGACCCACCCGCGACCCACCCCATGACCCACCCCACGACCCACCCCGCGACCCACCCGCGACCCACCCGCGACCCACCCGCGACCCACCCCGCGACCCGCCCGCGGCCCACCCCGCGACCCACCCGCGACCCGCCCGCGACCCACCCGCGACCCACCCGCGAACCATCTGCGACCCACCCCGCGACCCACCCGCGACCCACCTTCGACCCAAACCACGTTCAAGGTACAAACCAACATTTTCGGCGCCTGCGGCGGGCTTTTTTTGCATTCCTTCCAGGTAAAGAGCCCGCGACCCACCCCGCGACCAACTCGCGACCAACCCGCGACCCAAACCACACTCAGAGTACAAACCACATTTTTCGGCGCCTGCGGCGGGCATATTTTGCATTCGTTCTAGGTGGAGAGACCGCGGCCCACCCGCGACCACGTTCAGGGTACAAACCAAATTTTTCGGCGCCTGCGGCGGTCATCTTTTGCATTCGTTCCCGGTGGAGAATCCGCGGCCCAGCCGCGACCCAAACCACGTTCAGTATACAAACCAATTTTTTCGGCGCCTGCGGCGGGCTGCTTTTGCAGGAGGAGGAGGAGGAGGAGGAGGAGGAGGAAGAGGAGGAGGAGGAGGAGGACGAGGAGGAGGAGGAGGAGGGGGAGGAGGAGGAGGAAGGAGACGACGACGACGACGTCTACGACGACGACGACGAAAAGGAGGAGGGGGGAGGATCGGGAGGGGGGGAAGAGGAGAACGATGAGGAGGAACATGACGACAATGGGAGGACGATGATGGAAGGACGAGGGGGGGAGAGGGAGGACGAGGAAGAAGAGGAGGAGGAGGAGAGGAAGGACGAGGTGGAGGAGGAGGACGACGATGACGATGAGGACGAGGACGAGGACGAGGAAGAGGAGGAGGAGGAGGAGGAGGAGGAGGAGGAGGAGGCGGAGGAGGAGGAGGAGGAGAGCGCCATCGACAGGGAAGGTGGGGGCCACGAGGTCCGCCGGCTTGACGACGCCCGCGTCGCCCGCGCCCGCCCCCTCACTCTTATCCGCAATTGCGGGGTGCTACGTAAAGCGCAGATGTTGCGTCGGTCTGCGTCAATTTAGCGTCGGCTAGCGTCGGTTAGCGTCGGTTCGCAAGAGCCAGCAAGATGGCACGAGGCTCCCATGACTGGCCACCGGAGTTTTTCCTGCATTCGGACCGCAGGTGGACCACAGTTGGCACGTTTGTCCTGCCTCCTGCTCCTCCTCGCCCCTTCTTTTCCTCCTCCCGCCCCTGGCTCTTCTCGTCCCTTCCCTTTGGCGACTGGGGCGGCACTGGCCCAAAAGTGGTCCCACATGTGCTCCAGACGCGGTCCAAAGCTGGCCCTGATCGGGCAGCTGCGGGGGCTACACCGTAGGCGATGCTTAAGAAAACCTAAGTTTTCGTCCAGAGTCTCGATTATTCTTAACTTTTCAATGTAAATCCCAAGATTTTGATAGAAGTTCTGGGTTTTATTCAATTTCTGAGACTATGAATTTCTTAACCCATGATTTCTTAAGCATTTCGCAGGGTGTACGCAGGTTCCCATGGAGCAGACGCCCAGGTGGGTGGGGGGCGCGGACGGGCACCGTCGGCAGCGGCGCCGGCAGGACCCAGGCTTTCCCCATGCACGCAGCGACGCAGGACAACGGGGTCGTCTGCGCGCCGACGCGGGCGCACACAGCGGGGGCCCAATGCCAAGGAGAGCCCTGCTTGCCTCCAGGGTGCCCTGGGTCTCTCTCGGGCTTCGACGGTTCTGCCATGGAGAGCGTGGCGATCCCACGCCGACAAGCAAGGGGCGCCTGAGGTCTCAGGGTTGGGCTTCTTGTGGGAGGCCTCTGGCTAGGGGAACGAATAATGACATAAACATACAAACTCGGAGGTCCGCGCGGATTTCTCGGATCGGCGCTGGGGCCCCCCGGCGGCGCCTCCGGCGCCGCCCCTGGCGCGCTCCGCGCGCCAGGAAGGGGGTCCAGCGCCGATCCGAGAAATCCGCGCGGACCTCCGCGTTGTTACGTTTATGTCACTTTCTGTTCCCCCAGGGTTGGGCTTCTTGTGGGAGGCTTCCGGTGGGCCGGCCTCCGCCTGCAGGCTTCCCGCGCACGCTCACGCGCGAGCGCCTTCGCTTCCGGTGCAGCGGGCCGCGCTGGCGGCCCGCGCAGGTTCTGCGGCGTCCGGTCGCCAACTGTGCCATCTCGCGTGGGGCTCGCCTCTGCCCGCCGCCCGGGTGCCAGAGGGGGGGAAGACTCAGGAGGGATAAAAACACACAGACACAATTAATCGTCGATTCCAAAGAAAATATGAGAAAATATGGGAAGTGGGGGGGAAGACAGACACCCTGAAAATATGGGGAAATGGGGGGAATCCTTTCATTTGTGTGTATTTATTCGTGTGTCCCAGGGCCCCTCCGATGCCGCTGCTCGTCCTGGAGGGTCCCGTCGTCACGGGCGGATTTTCCGCGAGATCCCCGTGCGAGCGCACCCTACAGGGGGGGGTACGGGGAGCGGGGCCCAGCTCTCTGGCGACCTGCTTTGGTCCCTCCGGGCATTCGTCTTTGGTTTTGGCTCCCGGGTGCGGCATCGGGCCCTGTGACCATCAAGAACGCATCCATTGCGAACAACTGGTGAACTTAAGTCAGGCCTGTCCCTCTACGGAAGGCATCTGCAAAAATATTAAATCAGAGTCTGGGGACGATATTTCCATATTTTAGATGTTTTTTGTTGTTTGTTCTTTTGTCGTTATCGGCTGCAACAAAACATCGTACACAGTCTGCCTGTGGGAGGACATGCCAGACCCAATGATAAACACTGACCCCAGGGAATTGCTCGGACCTCGCTGCGGCCTCACACTGGAAACATCAGCTCGGCGGATGTCTGGGTCCAGGCCCCCACATGGGGCCAGAGCAGATGGGGTCGGAGGATCGCGCCGCATCGCCGATGCACCGGCGATGCAGCGCGATCGAGGGTCCGATTTGGTCCGTCCTTGCGCCGCCGCTGCACTTGCGATGCGATGCGATCTTCTGGCCCCGTCTGCTCGGGCCCCGTCCTGGGAGTCCTCCACGGCAGCAGGATTAGCGCATTTACCTTTTCCCCGCGGTTGCGCTTGCTTGAGAGACCCCTTTCCCTCGAGAGGTAGAAGGAGTATCAATGACACGTCGTTTCGATCCGAAGGCCCGAAGGCCTGGCGCTTCTTTAGCAGAATTCTTTACGCTTCGCGTATCCCCACCAGCCCATCTCACAACAGCAACTCTTGCGAAGCATGCCGAACGTCGTGTTTTTCAGGCGTGTGTCCGCTTGGCCCCGCATATCTCCCCTGTTCCTCCTTCCTCCCGCCTCCTTGTACATCCTCCTTGTGGGGGGAGCGGGAGAAGGACGAGGCGGAGGAGGAGGGAGAGAAAGCGCTCCTCGTGGTTTGAGTCGTTTGGGGTTTCTCGTCCTGGTGTGAGTCGTTCGGGCCCTTCTTCCTGGTGTGAGTCGTTCGGGCTCTTCGTGGTGTGAGTCGTTCGGGCTCTTCGTCCTGGTGTGAGTCGTTCGGGCTTCTCGTGGTGTGAGTTGTTCGGGCCCCTCGTCCTGGTGTGAGTCGTTCGGGCCCCTCCTCCTGGTGGACTCGTTCGGGCTCCTCGTGGTGTGAGTCGTTCGGGGCCCTCGTCGTGGTGTGAGTCGTTCGGGCTCCTCGTGGTGTGAGTCGTTCGGGCGCCTCGTCCTGGTGTGAGTCGTTCGGGCCCCTCCTTCTGGTGTGAGTCGTTCGGGCTCTTCGTGGTGTGAGTCGTTCGGGCCCCTCGTCCTGGTGTGAGTCGTTCGGGCTCCTCGTGGCGTGAGGCGTTCGGGCACCTCGTCCCCTTTTGGGGCGTCTTGGGGGCCTCTTGGCGGCCCCAGGGGCTTCTAGGAGCGTCTTGGGTGCCTTGGGGGAGCCTCTTCGGGCCTCTTGGGAGCCTCTTGGAGGCCGTTTGGGGCGTCTTGGGGGCCTCTTGGCGGCCCCAGGGGCTTCCAGGAGCGTCTTGGGTGCCTCGGGGGAGCCTCTTGGGGCCTCTTGGGGGCCTCTTGGGGGCATCTTGGGGGCCTCTTGGAGGCCTCTTGGGGGCCTCCTGGGGGCCTCTTGGGGCCATCTTGGGGCCTCTCGGTGCCTCCTGGGCGCTTCTTGGGGCCATCTTGGAGAGAATCGATCAAAGAAGAGGGGAGCTTTAATGAGCGCTGCCCCCTCTGAAGGGCAAAATGGGGCCAAAACCTTCGTAAAATCAATGATTTTGGCTTGAAAGAAGAGGGGAGCTGTAATGAGCGCTGCCCCCTCAGAAGGCCAAAATGGGGCCAAAACCGTAGTAACATCTATGGTTTTGGCTTCAAAGAAGAGGGGAGCATTTTGTCTGCCTCCCCCCGTCGGGGCCAGAATCCTAGTGAGGGGTGTCGTTTTTTAGCCCCCCCAGGAGTCGAAAATGACCCCCCTGACGACCCGCGGAACGCCCTCTCCAGGCCCAGTGGGAGGGGGGAGGGGGAGGGGTAAACCCCTCCCCGAAGGGGAAGAAGGGGGGTTGAGAACAGAGCGGGCTCGCTAAACCACTCACGCCCAAAAGGGCTGGTAGTAGTAGTAGTAGTAGTAGTAGTAGTAGTAGTAGTAGTAGTAGTAGTAGTAGTAGTAGTAGTAGTAGTAGTAGTAGTAGGAGTAGGAGTAGTAGTAGTAGTAGTAGTAGTAGTAGTCGTAGTAGTAGTAGTAGTAGTACTAGTTAGTAGTTAGTAGTAGTAGTAGTCGTTCGTAGTCGTAGTCGTAGTCGTAGTCGTAGTCGTAGTCGTAGTCGTAGTCGTAGTCGTAGTCGTAGTCGTAGTCGTAGTCGTAGTCGTAGTCGTAGTCGTAGTCGTAGTAGTCGTAGTGTAGTAGTAGTCGTAGTAGTAGTAGTAGTCGTAGTCGTAGTAGTCGTAGTCGTAGTCGTAGTCGTTAGTCGTAGTCGTAGTCGTAGTCGTAGTCATAGTCGTAGTCGTAGTCGTAGTCGTAGTCGTAGTCGTGAGTCGTAGTCGTAGTCGTAGTCGTAGTCGTAGTCGTAGTCGTAGTCGTAGTCGTATAGTCGTAGTCGTAGTCGTAGTCGTTAGTCGTAGTCGTAGTCGTAGTATAGTCGTAGTCGTGTCGTAGTCGTATAGTTGTCGTAGTCGTAGTCGTCTTAGTAGTAGTCGTAGTCGTAGTCGTAGTCGTAGTCGTAGTAGTAGTCGTAGTAGTAGTAGTAGTAGTAGTAGTAGTAGTAGTAGTAGTAGTAGTAGGTAGTAGGAGTAGGGAGTAGGAGAGGAGTAGGAGTAGGAGTAGGAGTAGGAGTAGGAGTAGGAGTAGTAGTAGTAGTAGTAGTAGTAGTAGTAGTAGTAGTAGTAGTAGTAGTAGTAGTAGTAGTAGTAGTAGTAGTTGTAGTAGTTGTAGGAGATGATGTAGTGATAGCGTCTTCGGGGCCTCTAGGGGCCTCTTGGGGACCCCTTGGGGGCATCTTGGGGGCCTCTTGGAGGCCTCTTGGGGGCCTCCTGGGGGCCTCTTGGGGCCATCTTGGGGCCTCTTGGTGCCTCCTGGGCGCTTCTTGGGGCCATATTGGGGAGAATCGATCAAAGAAGAGGGGAGCTTTAATGAGCGCTGCCCCCTCTGAAGGGCAAAATGAGGCCAAAACCTTCGTAACTTCCATGATTTTGCCTTGAAAGAAGAGGGGAGCTTTAATGAGCGCTGCCCCCTCAGAAGGCCAAAATGGGGCCAAAACCGTAGTAAAATCAATGATTGTAGTGGCCTTCGGCCAGTGCCGCCGATCCGGGTCGCTCGGGGTTATTCTCCAGACGCAGAAATTATGGGCGCACACTCAAACGCACACACACAGTCACACCACTTAACCTGCGCCGCAGACATGCGCACACAGCATCACCCACACACACATACTAGTTGGGAAACGCTCCTGTAGTACTAGTAGTAGTATTAGTAGTAGTAGTAGTAGTAGTAGTAGTAGTAGTAGCAGTAGTAGTAGTAGTAGTAGTAGTAGTAGTAGTAGTAGTAGTAGTAGTAGTAGTGGTTGTGGTAGTAGTGGTAGTAGTAGTAGAGGCCTCGTTCCGCGGCTTCTCTCGACTTCCCGCGGTCTCTCTCAAGTTTCGAGCACGCGGTGAGTTTCACGATATATGTGTGTGTATGTACGCGTGCATGCATGTATGCATGCATTGATCATGTGTGCCTGTGTGTAGGTACGTATGTATGTATGTATGCTTGTGCGCGTATGTATGTATTTAGTTTGTATGTATGTTTGTATGTGTGTATGATAATATGTGTGTATGTGTGTGAATGTAAGTATGTATGTCTGGAAGATTGTTTTTCTATGTATGCAAATGTGTTTAAATGTAGGTATGTATGCATGTGTGTATGGATGTGCGTTTGAAGAGCGAGGATGTTTCAAAGAAGAGGCACTCGGTGACGCGATCGTTGAGGGATAGGAGTGAGGTCGCAGAGGAGGAGGAGGAGAATGAGGAAGAGGCGATAACTTGAAGGAAAACGATGAGACGGAGGACATCCTGCCGGTGGCGCCCTGGGCGGTGCCGCGGAAGAAACCGGGGGCCTGCCGGAGGCAGTCTGGAGGCCTCTGGGGAGCTGTTTTGGGGCCTCTTGGAAC